CGGAAACGCGCCTGGTGGCCTAGTATTCGTCAGGACACCGAAGAAGCGGTCAAAACCTGCCCGAATTGCGAAGTGTCGAAAGCTCGGAACGAGAAGTTCGAACGGGAATCGATCAAGTATATGGCAAGTGCAGGAATCCGGCCATTCGAGCGGTGGGGATTGGACCTGATCGGCTTGCTGCCGACCACTCCCCACGGTAACAGGTGGATAGTCACAGCCATCGACTATGCCACTGGCTGGCCCCTGGCTAAAGCACTTCCTGAGGCCACAGAGGAAGCTATCGCCGACTTCCTACATGAAGAGATCTTCACGGCATATGGTGCACCCGCGGAGTTCTTATCCGACAACGGTTCCAATTTGCTGGCGGCCTCGGTTGAATACTACATCAAGCTCGTCAACGCAAAGCATCGACTGACGACGCCATACCACCCCCGGACGAATGGGAAGGTTGAGAACCTCAACGGCCTGCTGGGTAAGATGTTGACCAAATACTGCATGGGAAAGCCAACACGCTCGTGGGATCTACACTTGTCACAAGCGTTGTTCGCCGCCAGAGTCAGGGAGCATGCGACAAGTGGCAGGAGTCCCTTCTTCTTGGTCTACGGGACTCACCCCCGCTTGCCGGGTGACACCATGCCGTTACTGCCCGATCATGATGTTGCGGACCTCGACGCACGCATACAGGCCGTGAATCACGCCAGGGCAGAGGCCAACGAGCGGCTCCTTAACAAGGCGATCCGAGCGGGCAAGGTTCAGGACGACTTGGTAAGGAGAGCAAATCCACTTCCTGTGGGCACCTGGGTGCTTGTGCGCAACGAGGTCAAGCAGAAGTTTGAACCACAATGGTTCGGACCATACAAAGTCCTAAAAAGTCACCCGTTGGGTACGTACGCACTGGCGGAGCTAGACCTTGCCAACTCCCATGGGACTAAAAAAATTTTGGTCCCATATCCTGGTCCCATCTACTCCCACGGGACTAAAAAAATTCTGGTCCCATAACCCTGGTAGTCCCATGGGACTCCCATGGGACTCATGGGACTCCCATATGGTCCCACGCTAGCATAACTTTGCCAAGAATTTCCTCTTTCGGCTGCACAAATCTGCAAAGTAATCAGATAAAATACTGTTATTTACAGGTGTATGAGCGTCCCTACTTCCAATGTTAACCAACGTCGTTTTTTTATATGATATGGTCTGCAATTAAGTGCATAAATAACTCAAGTCTATATCAAAAAGTATCCTCCTTTAAAAAAAAAAAGTTGAATAATAGACTGTTATCGCCCATGGGTATAAAAGAGACATAAACATGGTATTTAGTAGAAGTGGTTAAGCAATATATATATTTACATAAGGTACTACACTGCATTTTCTATATATTATTGAAATGGTAAAAATTCAACAGACTTATAGTAAAATATAGTTAATTCTTATACCATAAGAAACGTTACCCCTGAATTGGTTTTTTTTATTTTGGAATTACTATTCTCTACTCCATGGTTGTTAAAGAATTTCAGGATAAAGCAGGTTCAAAAGTGAGGATTTTCTATTTGAAGTTGTGGGGGATTCTAGATACCCCCAAATCTATCAACTTCCCCTTTGTATAGGAGTCCCATGGGAGTCCCACGGGAGTCCCACGAGAGTCCTACGGGAGTCCCACGGGAGTCCCGTCGAATAGACCAATAAGTGATATATAATAAGTGGGTCATTACCTATTTGTGATATGTAGTCGCGCTACTTATTGTTTAGAATCTGCTAGTAGCAGGACGCGACTCTCCTACGTGTAAAGGTAGGCCTTAGAGATATCCTTTTCATACCCTCTTCCATTTTGATAAAATTGTTATTTAAGTATGTCTCAATATGAACTATATGCTGAGGCTGGCCCTTCATCCCAGGTTTCGTTCTCCCAAGCGGGAAACCCTCCACCTTCTTCAGTCTATAGTATTGGCATCATTGACGAGCCCCTTACGCCAGATCATTCAATTAGCCAGCAGCCGATCTACAGCGGGCCCGAATCTGCAATCCTCCAAACAGAGCCGAATCCGATTCCTCCAACCCTCCGTCGTATCGGTCCTAAACATCAAAAGTTCTGGGTTCTTTGGACTTCAATGAATAAAGCCGACTTTATTGAGTGGTGGCGTCATACAGCAGGTGCAAACCCATACCCTCCGCTACATAAAGTGAACTTTGATGCAAGGTATACCTCTACCGCTTGGGAACACTTTGATCAAGTAGCCCACTTCCAAACTGGGAAACCAATGGCACTCTGTCGGAGATGTGGAAAAACAATCTTACACCCATCCTCATCAGCAAACGGTTCAAAGTCACTCGCTGCGCATTTATCTAGTCGCGCATGTATAGCTGCATCGAAAAAGGGGTCTATACAACAGGATATACAGCAATCGCTTGAACTTACGGTATTATACAAATCTGATTCTATATTCTATCTATCTAATACTAATATTTTCTTTACACTTAGGCCACTCGCCCACCTACCCGCAAGGTCTTTGACCAACAGCGATTCGAAAGAGCTCAAGTCAAATTCATAGCGAACTCACGGCTTCCATTCGAGGTCCTCCGGCATAAAGAATTCGAAGATCTTATTGCAGAGGCTCAGCTTTCTCAACAGAAGCTTACCCTTCTATCACCAAAGACCGCGCGGCGTCGGCTCCAGTCAATCGTCCACACAGAGCAGCAAAAGCTTCTTTCTCTACTGCCAGCTGGAGCAAAGTTATCAATTGCCCTTGATTGTTGGACTTCACCCTTCCAACAGGCATTCATGGCAATCACAGGCTATTTTGTGGATACCAACTGGGATTATCATGAGATCCTTCTAGGTTTCATGCCAGTTCACGGCCAGCACACAGGCTCTAATCTCGCAGACATTCTCCTTGAGATTCTTCAGCAGCAGAATATTACAAATCGAGTAATTGCAATTACTACAGATAATGCGTCAAACAATAAGACCTTGGTTGATAGTCTATGTGATTCAATCGAACGGATGGAGCTTCCTAATTTCACCGAGATTGTGCGGGTTCCATGTCTTGCTCATGTGATTCAATTAAGTCTGAAAGATCTCCTTGGCCTGATGAAGGCTGATCCAAAAAACGATAAAACAGCAACAGTCTGGTCGGAAGAAAACGGGAGTCTTCTTCAACAAGCAAAGAGACAAAAGGGAATCATTTACACACTAGCTAAGGTAAAGTAATTAAAGCCTTCTTACAATTTTATTTCATACTAACCACTATACTACTAGGTACGGGCCTTCGCGGTTTTTATTAATGCCAGTCCACAGCGACGGGAGGCATTTCTAAATCTACAAAGTGAAGAACCAAGGCTTGCTCCGATCCAGGATGTACGAACTCGGTGGAATTCAACATATCTTATGCTCCAGCGCGCCAATCGACTTTCCGGTAGCTACCACAGATATTGCGCAGAACATCAGCGCCCAGAATTCCGGCTAAATAAAAGCGAGTGGCGGCAGATCGAATACTTACTCCATATCACAAAGCCTTTCTATAAATGGACTGTTGGCCTGTCAAAGATCAAGGCGACAACAATACATGATGTATTCCGGGTCTACAACCGACTGTTTACCCATTTTGAGCAGGCCCAGGCCCGCCTTCGACGAAAGAAAGTGCCTTGGAAAAAGGCTATGCTGAAGGCCCTTGAGGCCGGAAGTAAGAAACTCTCAGTATACTACAAAGCGACCGAGCAAGCACATGGAAGCCTATATGCAATTGGTACAATTCTTGCACCCCAGCATAAGCTTGAATACTTTAAAGGGCCAGAATGGGCAGGTGATGTTGATAGCATGGATTCCTCCTGGTATGATGTGTATGAGGCGTCTCTTCATAAGCACTTGGAGGAATACTCAAAACGCCAGCCAGAAAAGCAAGTACTTCCGAGGGCAAAGCCCTCCTCGCATAGTACAGATGCGATGATGAGTCTCTTCGAAGAGGATCAGCCAGAGCCACTACCACAGCCGAAGACTGGGTGGCAAGAAGAACTAAAGGGATATCTTAATACTGGTATGTTTATATGATCATGATCATAAGTTAACTAATCTAACCCTATATAGAACGGAGTTTAATTAATCCATGCTACTTCTGGAAAGAGAATGAGTATCGGTTTCCGACACTTGCAGCGGTCGCACGGGATATTTTCTCTATCCCAGCCACTGGTGCAGGTGTTGAGCGCCTCTTTAGTACTGCTCGCGATATCTGCCATTATCGACGAGGGTCATTAAACGAAGCAACAATCCAGGATCTAATGATGCTCCGTTGTTTGTCTAAGTTTGACATTGAGAGCGAAGAAACTGGTGAAGATTTCCAACCTGAGTCTATTCTGAATCCAGACGAAAGGACGGAGGTTGATGAGGCAAGGGAAGCGAAACTTCCTGAGTCTACATTGGAGGGAATTAGCGAGGGTGAAGATGGTGAGAACTTGGATGAAGTCGGAGGTGTTGATGTTGATATAGATCAGGAGGCTGCCGAGGAGTCAGATGATGATTCGGCACTACATCCATTGCCTCTTATTGTCATTGATAGTACAAGTCAAGCTCGACCCCAAAGAGATCGCAAGAGGCGTAGGGATAATGATATATATGAGTATACTAGATAGTTTAATCATTAGATTCTATATCACCCTATATTCTGACCGCGGTCAGAAATCCTGGTTATAGAAAGTATGGTTTAGGTTTGCCGCGCACTCTACTCTCACTGTAAGCCAAATACCTATTAATACGGGGCATTTCTTCATATTTTATGCAGGTCACGTTTTTCTGCATGTTTGCATTGTTTACAGTCCCATGGGAGTCCCATCTTAGTCCCATGGGACCGGACTGGGTACCCTAGTCCCATCTCTTGGCACTCCCATGGGACCATATGGGAGTCCCATCTAGTCCCATGGGAGTGGTCCCATGGGACCAAATGGTGGGAGTTGGCAAGGTCTAGGCGGAGCCAGGCGGACGAGTACTCCGCAACTTGATCAGCGGCCGGCGGATGGTTCAAGCCTGGGTCGACAACCCAAACCAATTGTGGACTTCCTCCGGAGGAAAACACCACTTGCGGAAAGCTGACTTAGAGATCAGTCGCCCAGTTGACGGTCGAGAGCAAGTTGACGTCGACTCAGACAAACCCCCGTCATATCATGAACTCTCCACAATCTCGCAGGCGGAATGGCGGGAAGCGGAACGTTCAGGGGTACGTTCTAGCATAGTGGGGAGGGAAGAAGCCATGCGGCACGTCGCGAAGAAAGCCACCGCCAAGGGCAGGCAAAAGCGACAAGCGCCCCTGGCGCAGGAAGCCCCGACGACAGAGGGCGGCATTGCACAAGAAGCAATGGAGGTCCCAGAGGACCCGGTGGAACCTAAACAAGACAGGCCCACAACATGGGATGAGGAACCACCTCAGGAAATCCCGCGAGACGGACTAGTCTCGGATCAAGGAGAACAAGAAGAAGTTCCCTTGGAACGAGGAGAGCAAGAAGAAGCTCCCTCAGAAATAGATCCTACCCAGCGAGTGGTAGAGATTGTCGAGGAGGACTTGGGAGACACGCCAATGGAGGACGCTCCGGAGGTGCAACAAGAAGCTCCCTACCTTTTTCGGCGGGAAAGGCGATATCCGCCACGCTCCTGAGGATATAAGGAGCGGGAAAGTGACACGGGAAAATGTCAGGACCGTCAACTGCTAGAGACACAACTACCATGGGTCACTTCCGCACTTCACAGACTAGGGTCTACGAAGAGAGAGGAGTATGGTAAGGGTTGTTTGCATTGATGGAGAAAAGAAAAAGTGACCAGAGGAAGCCGAGCAAGGCGATACCCACCGGCCTCTTAATTGAGAAAGGGCTGCCACATACGACGAAGGCATTAACCACACATCACTCTCTACACTCTACGACCTACGATTACAGGCTACAATCTACGGTCTACGACGGAAGAAGTGGTCAAGACTGTCTGTATTGGCTAGCAAGCAAAGAGAGTAACAAAGGAAAAAGCGACTAAACGTTCCAAGGAGCACCAGGACGAACACCACGGGGAGCTGCTTCTCTAGCTAATTCCGCCAACCTGTACGACAAAGCCCGCAAATCCGCATCCATCACCTCCACAGCATCCACCGCACGAGCTCGACGAACCATGATCTCTTGGGAAAGGGCAAAGAGTTCGGAAGGGGGGGCATTGAAGAGGACGGGGGTAAGGAGAGAGTCATAAGAAATGGGAACAGGGGCAGGGGCAAGGGCTTCAGGGACAACGGTCTCTTCCTCAACTGCTTCCTCAACTTGTTCCTCAACTTGCTCTTCGATCACATCAGGGCTCTGGGGAGGGGGAGAAGTGATGCGGACACGCTTGTTACGACGGGAAGGAGTGGGAGGAGCGGAGGCAGGGTAGGAGAAAGTGGACAAGAAGGACTGGAGAAAGTCAACAGCAGCAGGGGGACGAGAAGAACGCAGAGAACAACGAGCACCGACACCGGAAAAGAGACAGTTCATACAAGACCCCAAACAAACGACTTCTCCGACTCCAGCCAAAGAAAAACCCACCACTCGACAAGAAGAGAAGGAAACCACAGAGGAGGAATTCACACAACGAGCACAGGAATCGGCTTCGGAAAGCGCAAGACCAAGCAGCTGACCGAGTGCTCCCGCGACGTGGTTAGAATGATCCAAACGCACGTCCCGCACTTGCAGCACGCCGTCTACCACAGGCCAGTCAAGACTTGCCGTGGTCGTGGCAGCAACGGCGGCCGCAAGGCGCTGGCAGAGGCCAGACGGGAGGCCCTCGACGAGGGGGTTGAATGCCTCGTCGAGGCCGAGCGGGAACCGCTCGGACTCGGTGGCATCGACGTTAAAGAACGGGACTAAGGAAGTGAGTCAGTCTACTGGCTGGCAAGTGAGAAAAAGGGAGAGGAAAACTTACTAGTGCCGTCTTCAACGTCGGACTGACCCTCGACCTCAGGGGAGCTGGGCTCGACCACAGAGGGAGGCTGGGGAGCGGCTCCTTCGTCACCCCTGGCAGAGTGCACAGGGGCTCCAGAGGACTCCACAGACGCCGGGGAAGCGGGGTTCACAACCGGGAAAGCCATCCTAACTAAAATACGGTTAGCAAGGACCTCACAGCAAGTGAAACGAAGGGGGGGAAATGCGTGCCTGTGGTGCGTGTAGGAGGTGACAGAGGAATTGTGTGGAGAGTGTGAGAAGTGAGAAAAGAAAGGGGACTCCGAGCAGGAAGGATGGGGGTTTTATATACAGAACCTCTCTGGTTGCGCACAGGGTTCGATCTCATGTTCGCTCCCTCTTTAGGCAGCGCCATAAACAATCCCTTTGTTCGCTCGACAAAGAGACCACAAAGCGACAAACAAACTCCTTTGTTGCGAGGACCAGCAAGCAAACGATCCCAACGTTGAAAAAGTCGAAGTATTACCCGATTGGGAATATATGCGGCTTGTGGCAGAAGACGCCGAGGGCGGTGTCTTATGGCAAGTGGGGGAGGATGTCGTCCCGAGAGGTTTGCAGGGTTTGCATCCCTGAACGGCCTCAGGCACTTCGTGCCGCCTCAGACACTACTTGCCAGAGAGTAGGAGTGGGACCAGCACGGGAGGTGATTGGTTCACTCTCCTAGGGTTTCTATTGGTGGAGAAGCGAAGGACTCCTCCGGCTTATGTAATGTATTGATATATACGACGCAGCTAGTATCATCCAATAGAAACCATGCGATCCTTAAAGAATCTCACATATGAGATTCTGTAAGGATCGCATGGTTTCTTATTGGATAGTCCTAGATACTAGCTAGTTAACGTGATTCCCGGCCGAGCGGCCATCCCTGCCGAGCGGCCATCCCTGCCGAGCGGCCACCCCATCAGTATTCTGAATTTTCATACATTGATTAATCAACCAAAAAGCCATTAAATTCACTAAATCAAGCTCTAGGGCATCTATTAATCTGATGCCCTTTCTGGCGACACCCAGAACAAGTAATTTGACGACGTACAGGGGGTAAAATAGGCAGTTCGGGCTCTGCCGGGAGGGTTGGGATAGATGGTGTATTAGATATATATATCTCACCACCACGATTATCACCCATCTCAGCGACGGTACAATTTGTCAGACTACCCTGGTAGGATATCTGCTTTGTAGATTTAGCCCTCTTTTTCACCTGTTTTGCATTTGCAGCCCGTAATCGCTTGATTTCATCCTCTTGAAAAACGAGCTTATGTATGATCTTGAGGGTCATATTATGATACTGCTCTAGATCACGTTTGGTAGGGCTGGACAGCTTGTTTAACCCATCACTCAGTACAGCATTGATCCTAGCTTTGCGTTTTGCTAGTTGCTTGGTGTTCTGAGGTATACCAGTCGAGATATTGCTATCTGATGTCGAGCCCTGCGAACCAGGCCGATCTGGTAGGGGTGGGGATTGAAGGCGAATATTGAGCTTAGATAGCACCCGATCAGGTTCAAATGGGACTAAACCGGTAGCCGCAAAAGCACTATAAATGATAGTATCTTTAAAAGCATTCGTACGGGCCATAGGGAATATATCGATGAAGTCATCTTTCTCGATAGAATTAATGCCTAATCGGGTATATCCCGTAACCCGGCTTCCATAAGACCTCTTTAAAACCGCGAAACAGCCTACATCAAGAGGCTGTAAGAGATGGGATGCATGGGCAGGCATACAGATTGGTATAATATGGTTTTCCTCGCAAATCTTATCGAATTGAGCTGTTAGGTGACTGTTGTGACCGTCTAGAACCAAAAGACGATATTTTCCCTTTGTACGGCTTGTAGTATGCGGTATAAAGTGTTTTTGTAGCCAATCAACACCAATCTGATCACTTGTCCATCCATTAGGGCTATGGTTTATAGCCCATTGATGAGGGAGGTCGTCGAACCATCTTTCCATGAAGTTTTTCCCCTTGAAAATAATATACGGCGGCAGTGCAAATCCAGATGCACCAATAGCCTCGATCACAGTCACCCATTCACGATTCCCAGCTTGTAAAACCCCTCTCCGACCGGTATAAAATGATTGGGTAATCACTTTAGTCGTCGCACTAATCCCCATCGCAAAGCCTGATTCATCAAAGTTGTAGATATCATCCGATAATACCCCATACTTGATAACAGTTTTTTGAAAGAGATTAAACCACTCCATAATGACCTTTGGATCTTCCATTAAGGCCCTCCGATAGTCATATTTGCGAGAGAATCGGGACGTAAGCCCAGGATGTCGTTTAAGATATTGGGTTGGCCAATTTTTACTAACGGTCTGGGGGGTATCATCACCCCGATGCTCAAGTAATAAATTGGCCATATCTCGTAACATTTCGACCGTAAGAGCTGCACCTCTCGAATCCATAGAGATTAGCCAATCCTGAATCGATTCCTCCTCAGTTTGAGTAAATTTATGGCCGTTTGGTCGAGCATCAGACCGATTCGTACGTCCGGTCAGACGGGCCCGTAAGGTAGAACGAGGGACGTCGAAAGAGCGTGCAGCAGCTGCGACCGAAGGAATTTGGCCATTTTGAATAGCTTTGATAGCTAATAGGATCCTGCCCTCTTGTTCGATGAATTTCTGGGCTTTTTCAGTGCGTTTTGGGGGCATCGTGGATGATTACAAACATAGGTTGCTCGGGGGATGCGAAATTTGGAGTGGAGTGGCCGCTCGGCAGGGATGGCCGCTCGGCCGGGAATCACGTTAACTAAATGCAGTCTTGATTACATAATCTGCCAAGCAGGGCTTGGTCCAATATTAATCCTCCACTTGTTGTACGTTTTTAGTGAGACTTGGCCAAGTGCCAAGTCTCACTTGCCTGAGGCACGAAGCTGCCTAGGGCACCGAGAGTATGCAAACCCTGCAAACCTCTCAGGAGCACACAGTCCAGGATTCCCCTGAATCCCCTCTTCTTTTGGCAAGAGTTAGTCTTGGCACACACAGACAATATATCCTCGTTTCCTCTCAAAGTCATTGTATCTTACCCGGTTGACAGGCCTTACACCTGGTAATCGTAAACCTTTACAGAAAGGCAGTGCCAGGAAGAGTCGAACAGATGGGATTCTTCTAGCCTCAATTGGAATATCTTCCACCCAAAGGCGCTTTTGCTTAATTATGATATCCTGCTAGCAGAACTTGGTCATACATCACGATCGGAATTTGAGAAGAATTTAAGCAGTAACCCTTTCATGAGCTATGCGGCAGTCTTTCTGTGTCATGCTGAACTTCATCGATTTGAAGTCAGAACAGGCTGGCTTTCTCTTAGTGTCCTATCTTCCTATCGGTTGCTCCAATTGCTTGAGAATTTAAATCTGTTTGAAGAACGAACGAAAGACATAGTTCAGCTATTGGAATTTATTTTCGAGGATAGTGAGTACATGGAGAATTTGGAAAATATGCTGCGAGACTACATGGTCTGGAATGTGGAGATTTTGACGCGGAATGCCGACTTCAAACGTTTCCTGGGCCGAAACATGTCGTTAGAACAGACTGTCTTTCGTTTGATGTGGGAATAAAGGCGAGCTTATAAATTGAATGTCCTGCGATCTCTATATGTGGCAATGCACAAGACGTGCACATTTTTTCAGGGCGAGGGCTAGCCGAGAACTAAATTTCGGCATGGAAAAGACCAGTACTGACCAGTTAGTGAAGTTCATTGGCATGAAGGACTCTTATTGGGTCTACTACAAAAATCACATGAGATTGCGGCTGAGGCTACCCCTCATTCACAACATCCTACAACCTCTCTCATTGAGAAACAAAGATATTCGTGTGCCACTTTAACTATGGGAACCATTTTATTTGGTGAAAGAAACTCGGGCGTTCAAATCGGAACCAACAATGGGTCCATTACTGTGGAATCTCACCCTTCTTTGAGTAAGAATTTCTCGTGATGTTACACCCTCCGCGTAAGAGTTGCAAGCAAGGCCTTACATGTGACAATTTTTAGACTCCAGCTTTTTCAAAACCTCAAACTACGAATCACACAAAAACATCAATCCTTCACGGGTGAGGAATACGTGTGGATGGTTCTTGAATCATCACAAGTATCGAGAATGGAAAAACAACGACCGTGAAGATCTTTTATGGCTTTCCGCCGATCCTGGCTGTGGGAAGTCTGTGCTATCAAGAGCCTTGGTAGATGAGATACTGATACAAGATCCATCAGCTACAATTTGCTACTTCTTCTTCAAAGATAATGAGGAGCAAAATAGCACGGTAACTGCACTATGCGCTCTCCTGCATCAACTGTTTTCCACAAAACCAGACCAATTCCGCAACCACGCCGAAAATGCAATACGAAAACAAGGAGAAAGATTGAGATTTAGCTTTGAGCCGCTTTGGGAGCTATGGATATCTTCGGCCTCTGACCCTGGTAGTGGAGAGATAATTTGTGTTCTGGATGCCCTTGATGAGTGTCGCCAGCCAGACCGCGATAGAATAATACAAGAACTAGTGGAGTTCTATACGATATCTCAGGAAAGACCAACGGGCAAATCGAGACTAAAGTTCCTTGTCACAAGCCGTCCGTATGTGGAAATTGAGCGAAGATTCGGGAAGCTTACTTATCAGTTCCCTTCTATTCGCCTAGCTGGCGAGGAGGAATGGCGATGCATTAGCGAAGAGATTGGGGTTGTAATAGATGCTAAGGTGGATGAGATTGCGATTGAGAGGGGTCTCACTGATGATGTTCGAGAAGCTTTGAAACGCCGATTATCTGAGGGCCAGAACAGGACATATTTATGGTTACATTTGACCTTGGAGGTTCTTCGAGATTGCCTTGGCCAGACAAAAAGCAAGCTTCTGCGACACATTGATCAGCTGCCAGACAGTGTGGAGCAGGCCTACGACGAAATCCTACGGCGATGTAGTAACAAGAACAAGCCAGATGCAAGGCGTCTACTTGAGATTCTCGTCGCAGCACAACGTCCCTTAGACCTGGCTGAGATTGATGTTGCGCTAGAGGTCCGAACCAATTTCAGGTCCTGCTGCGATATGGATCTTGAGGGTCAAGCCCACAGAAAAAAGTGGATACGTGATGCTTGTGGCTTGTTCGTCAGCATTCTTGATTCTCGTGTCCACCTTATTCACCAAACGGCGAGGGAATTTCTATTACGGCAGGCGGATGAAGAAGTTGCGGCCGGGACATGGAGACACTCGATTGATCTGCAAAATGCCCATTCAGGCCTTGCTAAGTTGTGCATCAAATATCTCCTTTCCAGCGACTTCCGGAGACAATATCAAGAACCCGTCCGCCAGTCGACACCTCAGGAGGGCTTTTTGGACTATTCTGCAAACTACTGGACATATCATGTTCGACAAGTTGTTGACATAGAAAGTGAATGGGTCTGTGCGGCAGCCAAGTTATGTGAAGTTGGGAATGGATCATTTTCATACTGGATGGGCTTTCATCAAGATAGCATTATTTGGAAGCGATTAATTCGTTCACAAATGTCTTCTTTATACTGGGCGACGCATTGGAAGTTGGTCCTGATTGCGGAGTTTTTCATCAATAAATTTGAAATCAAACTCACGGACGAGGTCATTCAGAAAGCCGCAAAGAATGGATCTAGCGGAGCAAAGATCATGGAACTTCTACTTGATCGACGAGGAGCCGAAACCAAGATCACGGATGAAGTCGTCCAAGCAGCCGCGCGAAATTGGTCTAGTGGAGTAAAAATCATCGAACTTTTACTTGACCGACGAGGAGCCGAGATCAAGATCACGGATGAAGTCGTTCTGGCTGCTGTGGGGAATGGATCTAGCGGAGCAAAGATCATGGAACTTCTACTTGACCGACGAGGAGCCGAGATCAAGATCACGGGTGGAGTTGTTCAGGCTGCCGTGGGGAATGAATATATCGGTGCAAAGATCATCGAACTTTTACTTGACCGACGAGGAGCCGAAACCAAGATCACGGATGAAGTCGTCCAAGCAGCCGCGCGAAATTGGTCTGGTGGGGCAAAAATCATGGAACTTTTACTTGACCGACGAGGAGCCGAGATCAAGATCACGGGTGGAGTTGTTCAGGCTGCCGTGGGGAATGAATATATCGGTGCAAAGATCATCGAACTTTTACTTGACCGACGAGGAGCCGAGATCAAGATCACGGATGAAGTCGTTTTGGCTGCTGTGGGGAATGGATCTAGCGGAGCAAAGATCATGGAACTTCTACTTAGCCGACGTGGAGCCGAAACCAAGATCACGGATGAAATCGTCCAAACAGCCGCGCGAAATTGGTCTGGTGGAGTAAAAATCATAGAACTTCTACTTGACCGACGAGGAGCCGAGATCAAGATCACGGATGATGTCGTTCTGGCTGCTGTGGGGAATGGATTTAGCGGAGCAAAGATCATGGAACTTCTACTTGACCGACGAGGAGCCGAGATCAAGATCACGGATGATGTCGTTCTGGCTGCCGTGGGGAATGAATCTAGCGGAGCAAAGATCATGGAACTTCTACTTGACCGACGAGGAGCCGAGATCAAGATCACGGCTGGAGTCGTTCAGGCTGCCGTGGGGAATGAATCTAGCGGAGTAAAGATCATGGAACTTCTACTTGACCGACAAGGAGCTGAAATGAATATCTCTAACGAAATTGTTCGGGCTACTGTGGGGAATCGGTCTAGTGGAGTAAAGATCATGGAACTTCTACTTGACCGACGAGGAGCCGAGATCAAGATCACGGATGAAGTCGCTCGGACTGTCGCTGGGAATATATATTGTGGAGCAAAGATCATGAAGTTTCTCCTTAACCAACAAGGAGCCGAAGTCGAGGTTACTAATGAAGTTGTTCGGGCTGCCGCGGAGAATCCATCTAGTGGAGCAACGATCATGGAACTTCTACTTAACCGACGAGGAGCCGAGATCAAGATCACAGATGAAGTCGTTCAGGCAGCCGCGCGAAATTGGTCTAGTGGAGCAAAGATTATGGAACTTCTACTTAACCGACGAGGAGCTGAGATCAAGATCACAGATAAAGTCGTCCAGGAAGCTGTGGGCAATTTATATCGCGGGGCGACGATTATGGAAATTTTACTTGACCGACGGGGAGACGAGATCAAGATCACGGATGAAGTCGTTCAAGCAGCCGCAAGGAATCAGCTTAGCGGAACGAAGACCATGGAGCTTCTACTTGACCGACGAGGAGCTGAGATCAAGATCACAGATAAAGTCGTCCAGGAAGCTGTGGGCAATTTATATCGCGGGGCGACGATTATGGAAATTTTACTTGACCGACGGGGAGACGAGATCAAGATCACGGATGAAGTCGTTCAAGCAGCCGCAAAGAATCAGCTTAGCGGAACGAAGATCATGGAACTTCTACTTGACCGATGAGGAGCTGAGATCAAACCCATGGATGAAGTCGTTTAGGAAGCCAGCAAGGAATCGGTTAGGGGAACACAGATCATGGAACTTCAACGTGACCGAGGAGAAGCAGTCAAACCTGTGATAAATGTGCATATCCAATATTCCAGACTAGTCTAGTGATTTCAATCATTTGCAGTATTCTCTCACAGCAGCTTCGCGAGACCCAGGGATGACGACGTGGTCGTCAGATGGAAGCCTACGTACAGGCGAAGTAACCGCGGGGGTGACCCCGTTTTGTGCTGGCAGAACATTAATTATGGTTAGATGACATAGTGTGCCGGTTGTTAACATGTCAATCTTTTTGATTTCCTGTCTGACTTTCCAGAACTAAATCTCGACGAATATCACTAGGGACATCATCGTGACTGTCTAGACTGCCACCACCATCGACATAGTCAGACGTTCTAGATGTGGGGCCCGCATTTTATAGTGTTTCCTGTCCTTAGGATCTTCCCAGCACCAATCAGACTTAAGCGGGCATGAACGGACATCACACCTCATGAGGCTGACACACGGCCTCTCTTTTGAACTGTTCTTGATACAGACACGGAGCTACTATCGTTGCCCCTGTAATTCAAGACAACCTCGATTGTGAGCATTTTGCCCATACGAACCAAATTGCACCATTTACGTAGCTGCTTCTCTACCGGTTTCCAGTCAATAGTAGAAGGGAAAGATCGGTCGAGGTTCTTCTGACACCGGGAGTCCGCCTTAACAGTAACAGCCGCCGTGCCTTCAGAGCGAACTCGCTGGCCACTTTTCCTCTTCATCTGCAGCATTTCCTCAACGGGAGATTTCAAGGTATTCACCCAATAATCCGAGGAAGCTAGAACCAAATCCTTTTCAGTCACACTGCCTATCCTCTTACGGTTTAACATAATCTTCCATACAATCGTGTACCACATATCTTGTTGAGAGATTGCCTGCTCAAAGACCTCGATGTTTGCTGGGTTTGCATCGAATCTTCCAGTCCGAGCGACTAGTTCTAGACTCTTGTATCTTCCATACTGGTATTTGAAGCTCTTTGTATTTATTACCTGGTTAGGCACAAAACGTCTTCTTTACGCGTTATCTACAAATGGGTAAGCGTGTCATGTGATTAGGGTTCGAAAGATGGTCTCTCTGTTCCCGTCATGGAAGGCGATACCGGTCGCTACTGTACCAGGCGGTGATGATCTCGCAAATGCTCTTCGGAGTGACAGCTTGGCATTCACCACTTACCGCCACTCAAAGGGAGAGAGGCTACGTGAAACAGTTTGCAGCATTCAATCGAGAGTGGCTTGCTTGATAAGCGGAGCTTTTAAAACGACTGCAAGGGAGGTACTTAACGTTGAACTTCATTTACTACCTATCCAAAACCAACTGGATCAAATCGTTCAACTAACAGCCCTAAGAATACGTACAGGACCGGAATACGCAATCCCAAAGACAACACCCAAACAACGGAACCACGAACAGAGACAAAGGGGAGGACGGACACCGATGAAGGCTCAAACCTGGCAGAAGGGAGGATGCCTCTCGGCACCCCTGGGAACTGTGGCAGGGGACTGGGAGAACCAGAAGGCATACACCCAGGCACCATAGAATGAGCCACCGAGAGTCTATATTGAGGAGAGGGAAGAAGCAAGAACAACACATGATAGGATCTGGCTCCAGCTAGACGAGCCACTGCGGTTTTACACCGACGGGAGTGGCTACCAAGGGGGGGATCGGGGCAGCGGTATGCTGAGGAACGGAGTCAAGACTCTGCCATATGGGGACAGATGAGATGGCCACAATATACGCTGCTGAGCTTCGGGCCATTGAGTTGGCACTGGAGACCATTACGGAGATACTTAACGACGATCAACAACGACTAGCGAATGGAGCGGTTATCTTTACAGACAACCAAGCAGCACTGCGAGCAATCCAAAATCCAAAGATGCCATCCAGCCAGATATATCTCGAAGGCTGCCTCCGCCTGCTGGAATGGTGCGCCGGTAAGATCCAGGTAGAACTACACTGGATCCGGGCGCACGAAGGTATTCCTGGCGACGAGGCAGCCGATATGCTAGCAAAGGAGGCAACTACTACCGACATCAACCATATCCACAACCGTTATATCCGGCTTGCCGCCGCTGCGAAGAGGGGTAGCAGACAAAGCACAAAAATTGCATGGGAGACGACGTGGTCGAAGACAGGGAGGACGGCACGGAGGACGAAGAGGCTGATCGAGGCGCCAAACAAGGCGAATCTGGTGTACTGGAAGGGCCTACGGAAAGCGACATCGTCAGTGCTGATCCAACTCCGCACAGGGATCATCGGACTGGCCGAGTATCTCTCAAAAATCAAGAGAAAAGACTCACCTCGCCGTCAATGCGACATGGGGAACCAGGGCGTGCGACACGTGCTGCTCGAGTGTCCACTCCTGCAGGAACAGCGATACGAAATGATGAACGAATTATTCGAGGAAGAGGTGTCGATGACGCTCGGAGAGGAGGAGACGTTAAGGGAAGTAAAGGCGGCGCCGGTCGTGGGGAAGTTTATGATCGCAACGGGACTCCTGGGACAGTTTCGGTCAGTGGACTCGGTCGCCACGGGGAAGGAGAAGGGGAAAGGGGATGAGGATTCAAATCCAACAAAACCAAATCAAGAGACTGCGAGTGCTGGAGAAAAAGGACGCACAACACAGTGGCCTGGCATCAGGTCTGCCGAGGTCACCTCACGCCAACAAAACACATGGAGATCAGCCAATTGCCGACGACGAAGACGACGAAGCATAGCGTCGCGACCCGAACCTGTTTACATACGACCTGCCGGCATGATGCAGAATGCAGAACTGGCGGTCCTGGTGATGCAGGGACTCGGTGACTCGGGGAAGCCAATGCGAAGGAGAAGTGGAAGAAATGAAGGAGCGAAAGGTGCATTGCAGAGAGAAGGGGATATTCTGCGCCTGCGGGGAATGCGGGATGGATCATCTACGGATGAATTGACTTTCTTTACAATTTCTTTTGTCTTGTGTGCAATGCCGGCCGGTTTGGGGCTTTACAATTCAGGTTGCAGGGTCTCGGGAGACCGAGTCCTGTATACAGGGTGGTTGTATACTGGGGATGCACCACCATTTGTCGTCGAGAGCAGGTTCTGGGACGCAATCCCCGCATAGCAGCATGGATGTAATAGCGAGCTACATCGGGTTAATGAGATCATCATCATATTAGCATAAATGTATTATATATCCTATTGCTATCTAACTATACATATTCCTCTCCTTTCGGATAGATCCAGCACAGAGGCAAGCCCTGAGCATCTGGGTGCCTGTTTATTCTTCGGGTCTTCTTGAAATATGCTCTATTTTCCCTGCCCAGAGTCAGAATTCAAGGTCCTTTCCCGATCACTTCTGCCATCACCATACCTCAGTGTCAAGCTACGCGTTCGCGCATTTCTGTATCAACAGGCTTCACATCCTCGAGTTTTTCATCTGTGCCCACCAAATCCTCTTCGACATCCACATGATCCTTGATCTTGAGCCAGATGAAAGGAGCAGCACAAATGACGGAGCCGGCCAAAAGGCCCCAGTTACTAGCAAACTCGGACATATACGCCGGGTGTGTCGAGTCCCATGCCCACATGACACCAGCACCAGCTGACTGGATCCCTTTGTAGAAGCCGACGTAGTTGGCACTTTTCCGACCGGAGTTGCTGATCGTTCCAATGTACCTAAAAGGATTGTTTTCCCCCGGTCAGCTTTGCAAGTTTCGATGGGGTTGATATGCAGACGAAGAGGAAGATCACATACCAGTATACTGCACCCTGCCAGACCACGTCGTAGAAGCCATAGGAAAAATACAAGAACATCGGTCCACCATAGTTGGAATCGGTCCAGTCCGTATTGATGGACGGTTTCACGCCGCCTGGGGGACGAGTGTACTGTTTCTGGAAGACATAACCGCCTCCATGGATGATCATCGTCATACTGAAGAGAATGACCAGCATTCCCCTAGCACGGAGAGTGCGGCGAAAGTAGTTCAGGTCCATGGTGCTGATGAAGCAAGCTCCGAGGATGTGAGCAATGTAATAGAGGAAGGTGTTTAATGCCTTGGTGCGAGTGTTGAAGTACGCGCTATTGATGGAGTTCGTCTGATAGGAGATGAACCAGTTGGACGACCAGAACATGGGGAAAAGCAGCAAGACAGATGGCTCACTGCGGAGGGTCATCCAGAGACCGACAAGTTCGGACTTCCAACTCGGGTTCTTCATCAGGACGACTCTCGACCCATCCGACCGGACGACCTTCTTGGCATCGGCGATGAAGAGCCCAATCACAGAGCCCATGAATGTCAGAACGACAAAAACGATGTACGTGCTTTCTGGTACGTTGACATTTTTCTTCTCGTTGATGCTGTTGGCAAGAACAATCTATCACGTCAGGAGTTAGTCGGTGATCACGGGGTTTTCTTTTTTGGGGGGGGGTTATGCAAGTGCACTGACGCGCAAGGGTCAAAGAAAGGGAGTTTAAAGACGTACCAGACTGCCAACACACGATCCAACATTGAAGATGGACCAGAACAAAGTGAAGAAGCGTCCCTTTTGGTGCTCCAACGGGTATGACACCATAATGGTACCTTGTGCCGTCCATAGCAAGCTCGAGCACACACCGAGCAAGAAGCCGGCAAAGATGTTGAAACCGGGGACGTGTTTGTGTAAGGAGGCGAGCAAGCTGGCGACATAGATACAATAACCGATACCTCCACAGGCGAGGGTGATTCGCACACCCAGTCGGTTGACGATCGTACCGGAAAAGAAACTGGTAAAGGCGGAGGTGACATAGAGAGCCGTGTTCTATGGAATCCACAGGGTTAGTACCGTCCACCACCACCGAGAAACGGGGACCATGTTACCATTTTGTCCACCAGGGTCGCATCAGTCATTCCACCTCCTCCCATGCCACTCAGGGCATTGAACATGCCCGGGCAGAGAAAGCAAATGAGGGCGACCATAACCAGCTGGAAGAGAGGTTTGGCGTACCAGCCGCTGACCCTGGAGTAAAATGTACCAGACGAGGCTTCGGTCGTATCAAGCCCCTCGGACTGGGTGGCAGGCTCCTTCATGGTCTCCGAAGCCGACTCCATGGCAGGGTTCTCGACTGTCATAGCGAGGAGAAAATGTGTGTATAGGTCGAGTACAGGAAAAAGAAAAACCCGATAGCATTTCGTTTTTTAGGGGGAGGGGAAGGTGTCTACATTTATGTATTAGGTTCTAGATCGTATAGAGTGTTATCAATTTGATGTTACACTGTACACTAAGAAGCCCTGGAGATTAACACGAGATCGCGTCATAAATAATTATTATGGCAAAGATATGTTATCTGAAGGGCGGTGTATACACGTATCAACGCCAGGGTCATGTAACCGAGAGAGAAAAAAGAAATCAAGTGATTATAGATTGTAACTATACGACTTTTAACTTTTCTCAATTTCCCCATAATCTCCAGTTTGTTATCTCTTTTCAACGTGAACCACAAATATCAGAGAAAGGGCAAAAAAAAAAAGGGAAACTGGGGATATCCCAATCGGGTAACGTGGACCGATTGCCGGGCCCACTTGGTCCACGAGGTATCACAAGGTTAAACTTGCATTAGCCCGATCGGAAAGCCTTGGAACCTCCTTATGCGGGGATTGACTTTTGATCTTGATAAGTAGTGATAAGTAATTGGAAAGATATATACACTGTTAAAACACATATTATTGAATCTAATGTATGGCTATCATGAAGGCTCCTCTGTAAGAAACTTGGCTTGTTGCAAAACACTGTGAACGGCCAAGTGTTGCCGAGGTCGCGCAGCAGATAAAATTCGGGTGTCAGATTTCCGACCGTGATTAACTTTATGAAAGACCGAAAGGCTCTCCGTGGCGGAATTGCTGGAGGAAAAGGTTTCAATCAATTGCGCAATATCGTCCAGGATGGGCTGTGCCAAGGCAAGCCCATGGAAAAACCGCTTGATAGCGGCCAGGCATAACTCCGCCCGACTCACGGCGAATTCCAGGCTCAGAAGATCGGGCTCAGTCGATGAATGAGCGATAAACAAAATCAATCGAATGGCGTGATAGACGCACACCCCGGTGGCAAATTCCAGCAGCCGGGGCTTGGTACAGGTCTGGTTCAAGTCACAAAACAAATTGACGACTGCCAGGGCATGTTCAACGCAGGCTCGGGTCGCCATCTGCACAAACTGCGCGTCGATCGTGCTCAGAACGATAGAGGGTGGCGCTTCAGGGTACCCAGGGAGGAAAATGCGATAGAGGTCAAAATAGCACCCATGCCACAAGGTGAACGTCATGATGTGACGTGGCAGCCAGGAACTGTCAATCAACTTCTTCAGGCCCGTGGTCGAGATTTCCGCTTGGTTGGGTATCTCCGCTTTGAGTTCACAGAGGATCTCTCCGAGGCCCCCAGTCACGTCTTGGAGATGCAAGTAAGGCTCGGTGCAAACCGCGAGCTCCCGTGTCAACTTCATAATATCCCGGCGAATAGAGGCCAATCGAATACACATATTCAGTGACCCCAGCTCATACTGATCTCGCAACGCGTAAATGGCAAAGTCTTCCGACCCGGGCGGACAGAGCAAACCAAACGAGTCTTCCAATGACGGTGGGTGTAAGTAAATGCACTCAAAGGGGCAGACTTCAAATTCGGTCAATCCAATCGAGAAGTAGGACTCCAGCAACTTGAAACACCATATGGTGCGGCGTCGGGTCTCCTCCAAAATAGGGTCCAAGTGGGTTTGCTCATGATTAAGACCCATGGCAGAGGCCGCACGGGCCGCGATCGCTGTCAACATGAATGCCTTTTCATAGCTCCCGGTGGCCATCCGATAGCTGATTGTCAACAACAAGGCTTGTAAACGTGGCATGGTTGGGGTTTCCAGGCATTTCCAGATGGTCTCTTCCGCATCCGACACCCATGCAGCACTCTTTTCCCGGTCGACGGTCACGTTGTGTACAGGCACATGCAAGGAGGTCAAGGCACAAATGGCAAGAAGGAGCGGTCGCTCTAATGCACCTTTGTGGCATTTTGCCAAGGTCGTGGAGGGATGCAAAAATGCATAAGACGGAACTGGATAGAGATGCTCGAAGAAATTGCGGACCAGTTCGGTCGCTTCCCCGTGGAACGGATCTCCCTGCGTCGTGTCTTTGCTTTGATCGGGCAGGGAGCCATGCCCAACGGACATTGTCTCAGGTGCCGAAAAAGGATCAGGACTTCGAGAATCCGGGGGTGGAGCATCAGGTAGGTCACATTCCCCATGTGCCCCATGTGCCCCGGAACCTCTGTCACGTCGCTGGGCCACCATCGATGCAGGATAGGAACAAAGTCTGTTATATTTGATGCAGTTGGCACATTGTGGGTGGGTATTGGAACAGCGAACCTTCCGCACTCGACATTGTGAACAGGAACTCCGCCCTCGTAGCCGCTCGGGTCTTTCGTCGTTGCTTGGACTGGGTCGCGTACCAGCCACTAGAAGCGATTCACCCTGGGTAAAAGAACACTGAAAGCCTAAACGCTCACAGTTGCGGCAAGTAGAAACTCGGCCATCACAGCCGACCTTATTGCGTCAGTAATTTCACACGTTTTTTGGTCATGGATAAGGAATACCTTCCGAGCTCGGCACTGTTGACAGACCTGTTTCGCTCGAGGATTTGGCGATCTGAACACAGACAAATAAGGTAGTATCATTGGATCGGCAGTCGGCATGGTGTAAGTCTATCAAATCCCAAAAGAGTCTCCATACTTGAGGTTGAGTGACATTCTGATAGTGTCAGTTCTCAATTTAAGTGGATGGAGCTCCCGAGGTAATGGCAGGTGGGGTGACTAATCCACGTTGAGACCGATTGACCGACATCCGTCTAATCTCTCCGACTACCGTGTCTGGGGAAAAAAACCTTTAATCTTCAATGTAGCATTGAAGAGGATTGTGTCGTATGAAGGCACAATTCTTGGCTAATAAGACACCATGCCCAGCTCTTCTTCAGAGAATTGCGAGCGCAGTCGTGACAATTTCGTCTTTTCCCCCTTCCAGCCTCTCATTTCTTGCCTGTTTGCATTTGCTGACACGAACAACCCATCATGGCCGCTAATGTAGGGTCCACGCGACCCAATATCATCTTCATTATGGCCGATGACCATGCCTCGAAGGCCATCTCCTGCTACGGAGCTGGAATCAACCAAACGCCAAACCTCGACCGGATCGCCAACGAGGGAATGCGCTTTGATCACTGTTATGTCACCAACAGTATCTGCACACCATCGCGAGCAGCCATTCTGACTGGCACGCACAACCATGTCAATGGCGTGATGTCCCTCCATTCCAAAATCCAACGCCACACTCCGAACGTCGCGAAACAACTCCGAGGTGGTGGCTACCAAACCGCCATGATCGGCAAGTGGCATCTGGGGGAGGGGAAAATGCATGAGCCCACTGGATTTGATTTTTGGTCCATCCTCCCCGGCCAAGGCGAATATCATGACCCCGAGTTCATTGGTCCCGATGGTACACAAGTCATGGAAGGATACGCTACGGATATCATTACAGATATGACTCTCGATTTCATCAAAGGCCGAGACCAGTCCAAGCCATTCTTCGTCATGTGCCACCACAAAGCACCGCATCGGAGCTGGGAATACCAGGAGAAACACAAGGATCTGTACCAAGATCCCATCCAGCTACCGGACACCTTCTCGGATGACTACAAAAATCGTGCAAAGGCGGCCGCGATCGCGAAAATGCGAGTCTCGGAAGACTTGTCTTACAAGGACCTTGGCCTGGCGCAGCCTGATGGTGATCGGAGAAAGGTCGGAGAGAAGATGGCCGGTGGTATGCGGAAGGTTCCCTCGCCTTCCACAGACGAGGAAGTTCGACTGATGAGGCTCATTGACAATGAAGACGGCACCGTCTTCCGGTTTGAATCCAAAAAGGAACTGGCTGAGTTCAAGTTCCAGCGTTACATGCAACGGTATCTCCGTACCGTTCAGAGCGTGGATGACAATGTCGGCCGGATCTTCGAACTGCTCGATTCGGATCCGGAGTTGGCCGATAACACCATTGTCGTCTATACATCGGATCAAGGCTTCTTCCTTGGTGAACACGGATGGTTTGACAAGCGATTCATTTATGAAGAGAGTTTCCAAATGCCGTTGATGATTCGGTATCCCAAAGAAATCAAGCCTGGCACTGTTTGCAGTGACATTGTCTGCAATGTGGATTTCGCGCCCACATTTTTGGACTTCGCCGGCATCACCACGCCGACCTACATGCAGGGCCGAACCTTCCGCTCAATTTTGGGTGGCAATTGCCCTGCCGATTGGGACCAGCTGGCGTATCACAGATACTGGATGCATAACGACGCCGAACACGAAGCTTACGCGCACTACGGAGTGCGCAATCATCGATACAAGTTGATTTACTGGTACAACGATGATTTGCTCGTTGATGGAGCGCGGCCCGGCGGCGAGGATTGTCGTGAATGGGAGTTGTTTGACTGTCAGGAGGACCCGCTCGAGTTGTTCAATTGCTACGCGGATCCGAAGTATGCGGAAGCCGTGGTTGAAATGACGAGATTATTGGAGAGGAAGATGATGGAGATCGGGGACGAACCCGCGCATGAGAAACTTGTTCAATAGATTGCAACCTGCTGTACTTTACTATATAGAATTCTTTTTGTCGGAGATTTATGTTTAGATTATCTCCTTGCTCGTCTTTCATGTTCGAAATACTAGAATGCTCAGTTCTATTGCACACAGTTCCGGCTTCAACCTATAACAACCAACCTACGAACTTGCCGCCTCAACATCAACATACGGAAGACTGTTCTATGGGGAACCAGACACGGGATATAATGCACAGAAGGAGAGAAAACACCTACCAATACTACTCTGACTTTGTCGAAATAAGAGATGATAGCCTGACACAGAGCGCGGAACCCTTTTTGGGTCCATGATTCTATGACCGAAGCGAATAGAGACAGTTCCTCCCGATAGCATAGACGGTAACTCCCTGTCAATCCTGTTACACTGTGAAACGTGCATTGGGTCAACTTCCTCCATTGGGGCCCCAGCAAAACCCCAACTTTGCATAAAACCAAACTCTTAGCATTCATAAAGCTGCTAAATAAGCGACATGTAATTTTAGTAAAAATTAAATATCAGTATGGTTATGGTGGTCGAAGTCGTAGAAATATATTTTGAATAGAGGGGTCTGAGAGTCTTAGAGATATAAGGGATGTAAGAGGAATACCCCAAATTATAATAAGAGATTGTACAAATTATGCAGTTGGGATGCCTTGGTATATTTATCTTATAACTACACTAGGACTGCTTGAGCGAAGTCGAGAACTCCTGTCTTCGCTGGCTCTTCTCTCCTTCATCCCGAACCCAAGAGCCAAAACACGTATTCCAGAAGCACAAATGGCACGACTGGAGCCGTCCAAAATTCAACTAATATGTGATATGCTAAGCAGCAATGAGAAGATACACAACGTCGAGCGATACATAGCTTAATTCGAACACTACCGTATCAGAATCGATCAAGCATTTATTTCACTTGGATACAGTTCTGGAAATCGGTGTCACCACACTCTTTCTTCCAGGTGCCACGGCACGCTAAACGATTTGACATACTCTAATCTCACCGATCTAGGCCTTGTACCGTGAAATACCGGATTATTGTATTATACCGACCCATGTTTCGTACACGACTAATAACGGTGGACATTGCGGATTGTAACGGCAGTTGCCGATGTGGGTCTCCGAATGCTCGGATGTGCACGCTGGCTCTTCGAGAAAAGTGCAGCATTTCAGGGGCAGGTCACCTGATCGTGAGGCTGAGATATTTCCCCCGCTTTCTGAGGCCTGGTGCCTTCACACCATAGTATGCACCGCCTGTTGACCATGAATCAAATCTCGTTTGGTAACAACAGCTCGGGGCTTCAATTTGGGATCAACCACGGAGTAATCAATGTTGTATCCGGTACATGTCTTAAACCCTTATCCAAGCCCGGTTTAGCTAACGTAAAGCCTCTATTTGGGCCAGATCGAATAGAATCCCCTCAGCAGAGGGTAGATAACGGTTCGCTTCACCCCATATCTGTCAGAGAGTCTATCGCTTACTATAGCGGTAGAGATACTCAGGTCACTGGCATTTCCACAGATGCTAGACCGGAGAGAGAATGTCGAGCCATGTCATACCAATACCTGCCAATGGATTTTGGACTTGGAAAAGTACCAGTCCTGGAGGAGCGAATCCCGTGGTCTACTATGGATTAAGGGAAAACCGGGTGCCGGCAAATCGACATTGATGTTATTCCTACACGGCAAACTCAGGAGTTTACAGAACGGCAACCATGGCATCCAGCTCGACTTTTTCTTTACTGCGCGGGGTACAGAGATGCAACGTACACCACTAGGCATGCTTCGCTCTTTGCTGAACCAAATATTTGAACGCGATGCGACTGTACGCCCCCAGGTGCGTGAGGCCTATGAACAACGATGTAGGCTGTTTGGGAACGGTGAAGGCAAGTGGGAATGGTCACAAGGGGTGCTAGAAGAGTTACTGGCAGGTGTCATCCTAGCATCCGCTAGTCGACAGCATGTGACGGTTTTTGTCGATGCTTTGGATGAGACCGGAGCTGAGTCCGCTCAACAACTCGCAGCGTATTTCCATCGACTTATTGATCGAGCAGCAAAAGGGAGCGTTGCGATTCGAATCTGCATTTCATGTCGACACTATCCCATCATAGGAAGTGCCCAGGCTATGGAGATACATGTCGAACGGCATAATCACAAAGACATCGCTACATATATCAATGATATACTTGCCGAGACAGAGAGCGAAGATTACCCTAGCAAAGATATGAGACAGATGCTGATGGAACAACTGATTCGCCAAGCCAATGGTGTGTTCCAATGGGCTCGTCTTATAATGCCTCTTGCCCGACAGAGGATTTTTGAAGGGGAATCGTTCGATGACATCTGTTGCTGGTTACACAAGGTCCCGGCCGGCCTAGAAGATGTGTATATGTACATTCTAAACAACGTGATAGAAGTGCAGAACTTGGAGCAATCGTTCCTGCTGTTTCAATGGGTGTGTCTGGCTGAGCGACCACTAACTGTGATTGAATTGCGGTACGCCTTGGTAGGTAAGAATGCCCAAATTACGCGTGCCCCAAAGACCTGGGAGAAGATGTATGGTTTTGTTGAAAGCGACCAACGCATGAAGCAAAGGATCAAGGCCCATTCTGGTGGATTAGCGGAAGTTATCTCAAGGGGGGCTTCAAACGAAACTGTCCAGGTGGTACACCAGTCAGTCAATGATTTCTTACGCTCGAAAGGGTTAGCTGCTTTGAGTGATAGTATCGGCGCCAGCAGTCCAGTCTTAGAAGGAGAAAAGATCCTCCTCCAATGCCAGGCAAATCTCTACCGATCCTGCCTTGTTTATCTGACCTTACTCGGTGTACGTGGAGATATTTCGAGTGATTCCCAGGTGACGAAAAAGGACCTTATCCGGAACCACCCACTAGTTGCTTACGCCACTACCAACCTGTTTATTCATGCGGAAAAAGCTGCTCACTCTCGTGTGCTCATTATCCCGAACGAACAAGATATCATACAGCAAATGATTAGTCAATGGGTCCAGATTTACCAGATTCTCGACCCTTATAACCCAGTGTGCCCACCGAGAGGTACTTCAATAATTCATGTGACGGCAGCTGCGAATCTCGTTGATATCCTGGAGCGTGTGTCTTTGAACAGCGAGGACGTGGCAAGGAAAGACGGACATGGAAATACCGCTCTCCATTTAGCAGCGCGACACGGTCATATAACAGGGGGAAGAATTTTGCGCGAGAAAGCTGCGGATTGTGAGGTAACAAATAGAGAAGGAAGAACACCATTGGCTGAGGCGGCTAGCTTTGGGCATACAGGATTTGTTGAATGGCTCATACTCGAGGGTGTGAAGCTTGAAGCAACAACTGGTGGAGACCAGAGTGCTCTACAAGCGGCTTCATTGGGAGGACATCAGAATGTTGTTGAAATATTGCTTGGAGCTGGAGCAGCGGTGAATACAAAGGGTGGTAGATATGGCAATGCCCTACAGGCTGCAGCATTCGGGAAAAGCAGTGAGATCGTGCAGATGCTCCTCGACGCTGGCGCCGATGTCAAGGCTCAAGGTGGTGAATACGGCAATGCCCTACAGGCTGCTGCATACAGGAAAAGCAGTGAGATTGTGCAGATGCTCCTCGACGCTGGCGCCGATGTCAACGCTCAAGGTGGTAGATACGACAATGCCCTACACGCTGCTGTATACAGCAAAAGCAGTGAGATCGTGCAGATGCTCCTCGACGCTGGCGCCGATGTCAAGGCTCAAGGTGATGGATACGGCAATGCCCTACAGGCTGCTGCATACGGGGAAAGCAGTGAGATCGTGCAGATGCTCCTCGACGCTGGCGCCGATGTCAACGCTCAAGGTGGTGAATACGGTAATGCCCTACACGCTGCTGTATACAAGAAAAGCAGTGAGATCGTGCAGATGCTCCTCGACGCTGGCGCCGATGTCAAGGCTCAAGGTGGTAGATACGACAATGCCCTACAGGCTGCTGCTGCATTCGGGAAAAGCAGTGAGATCGTGCAGATGCTCCTCGACGCTGGCGCCGATGTCAACGCTCAAGGTGATGGATACGGCAATGCCCTACAGGCTGCTGCATACGGGGAAAGCAGTGAGATCGTGCAGATGCTCCTCGACGCTGGCGCCGATGTCAAGGCTCAAGGTGGTAGATACGACAATGCCCTACAGGCTGCTGCTGCATTCGGGAAAAGCAGTGAGATCGTGCAGATGCTCCTCGACGCTGGCGCCGATGTCAACGCTCAAGGTGATGGATACGGCAATGCCCTACAGGCTGCTGCATACGGGGAAAGCAGTGAGATCGTGCAGATGCTCCTCGACGCTGGCGCCGATGTCAACGCTCAAGGTGGTAGATACGACAATGCCCTACACGCTGCTGTATACAGGGAAAGCAGTGAGATCGTGCAGATGCTCCTCGACGCTGGCGCCGATGTCAACGCTCAAGGTGGCGAATACGGTAATGCCCTACACGCTGCTGCATACGGGGAAAGCAGTGAGATCGTGCAGATGCTCCTCGACGCTGGCGCCGATGTCAACGCTCAAGGTGGCGAATACGGTAATGCCCTACAGGCTGCTGCATACGGGGAAAGCAGTGAGATCGTGCAGATACTCCTCGACGCTGGCGCCGATGTCAACGCTCAGGGTGGTGAATACGGCAATGCCCTACAGGCTGCTGCATACAGGGAAAGCAGTGAGATTGTGCAGATGCTCCTCGACGCTGGCGCCGATGTCAACGCTCAAGGTGGCGAATACGGCAATGCCCTACAGGCTGCTGCATACAGGAAAAGCAGTGAGATTGTGCAGATGCTCCTCGACGCTGGCGCCGATGTCAACGCTCAAGGTGGTCATTTTAGCAATGCCCTACATGCTGCTGCATACAGGGAAAGCAGTGAGATTGTGCAGATGCTCCTCGACGCTGGCGCCGATGTCAACGCTCAGGGTGGTGAATACGGCAATGCCCTACAGGCTGCTGCATACGGGGAAAGCAGTGAGATTGTGCAGATGCTCCTCGACGCTGGCGCCGATGTCAACGCTCAGGGTGGTGAATACGGCAATGCCCTACAGGCTGCTGCATACAGGAAAAGCAGTGAGATTGTGCAGGTGCTCCTCGACGCTGGCGCCGATGTCAACGCTCAAGGTGGTGAATACGGCAATGCCCTACAAGCCGCTGCAGCATTCGGGAAAAGCAGTGAGATTGTGCAGGTGCTCCTCGACGCTGGCGCCGATGTCAAGGCTCAAGGTGGTGAATACGGCAATGCCCTACAAGCCGCTGCAGCATTCGGGAAAAGCAGTGAGATTGTGCAGGTGCTCCTCGACGCTGGCGCCGATGTCAACGCTCAAGGTGGCGAATACGGCAATGCCCTACAGGCTGCTGCATACAGGAAAAGCAGTGAGATTGTGCAGGTGCTCCTCGACGCTGGCGCCGATGTCAACGCTCAAGGTGGCGAATACGGCAATGCCCTACAGGCTGCTGCATACAGGAAAAGCAGTGAGATTGTGCAGGTGCTCCTCGACGCTGGCGCCGATGTCAATGCTCAGGGTGGTAGATATGGATCATCCCTCTTGGCAGCTGTTTATCAAGGCCATGCTGATCAAGTTCAGATGCTTCTTCACGCTGGCGCAAATGCGTTGCTTGCAGATGAACTCGACCAGACTCCTCTTCATATTGCCGCCTCGAAAAATAGGCTTAACCTTCTCCATCGGTTCCCGGAGCTCCTCTCGCCTATTAATACCCGGGACAAGCTTTCACGAACCCCCATTCATCTGGCTATTTGTCTCGGTCATATCGACCTTGCCATAAATCTCCTCCACTTTGGTGCCAATCCTTCTCTCCCAGATGGTTATGGTAGAAATGCCCTAGATTGGGTAGTTGGAAATGAAAGTCTGGTGCACCAAATCCAAAACCACTACCCTTCAATTGTTGTAACGCCTGATAATACGCAAGAGCTTGCTGTTCGTCAATCAATCCTTCAAATCTCAGATACGCTTCTTCGGTCTCAGCTGCACCTCCCATGGCCACTTTTGCAGCAACTCGGTCGCTATCTATTGTTTGTCAACGAAGTAGACAATGCCCGATGTCTGTTTCAGCTGCATTTATCTCAGGAGACTTACATTGGCACCCCCATATATAAGTCTACGTGTGACATTTGTACACAGTTTATTAGCGGCTCTCGCTTTGTGTGCAGAATCTGCGCCCATATGGATCTGTGCTCGTCCTGCGTGCAGAAGTACCCCTTCCACAGTCGATTACACCCAACTCAAGAGCACAAGACTCTTGAAGTGCCACATGTCCTTGATCGGGAGTCTCTGCTCACTACGTCAGCATCAGAGAAGTTGACAAGACTCGTTGATAAGCTTACTGCGCCAAATTCCCATGGAAGTGGGAAGGGGCCATCAGGTTATTCCGTGCCTTATCTGCCATCCGTCACGGCACCCAAAATGACAGCTATGATTTCAATGGCTCTTCAAGGCCCAATCTCAATATTCGGTCTTCTTTCGTTTGCTCTTATAGCAGTTTCGTTTAGATACTGGTATACCTTGATCTGATTGAACATATTCTTCACGCTCGCCGTCTCTGGCTTGTTACCATTAAAGAACGATCGCTCTAGTATATAGGTACAGCACCCAAGACTAACATCTTCTGTATGGCTATCGTAAGAAATGTGGTTTTTGGAGTTCAAGCTAAAAAATGCTAGTGCCTTTTTAGGATTCTGGCTATTTAAGTAGCATCACTCATACGATGAAACATCTAACTAGGATTGAATACTGTAAATTAATAACACGAAGGTACTAATATCCGGTGGCTGCTCTAAACAGAGTATCGTAGGACTTGACGCCAAGGGCTGATAGAGAGTGAAAGAGTTTGGGCTGTGACACCGATTTCCGGAAGTACTGTATACTATTGACTAGTAGGGGGATTCATAATTGCAACTCCGCTCACGGATATCCTCAACGAAACGACGAGCCACGCCAATCATTACGCCCTGTTTGATGAAGAACTCAGAATCTTTATCTTTGTTTATCTGTTCGAGATCGAGGCCATTCGATAATGCCACATCACATGCCTTCGTTATGTTCCATTTGAAAGCATGAGAGTCCACTCGAGATGGCTGCCAGTTACTATACTCTCTTACAGCTCTATCCAGAGGAATGTTCGGAGCTACAAAAGGATCAACAGGACAAGAGTCGGAAGGGGCCAACAGTGGTGGAGGAGAACACGTAGGTGTGGGTATCATAGACGATGGAAACGGAGTAGGTAGAAGATGGATATTCATTGGGGGACAAGGAGATTCAGCCGCCGGATATTTAGGATTCTTCCGTTGGCGCTCAAGTCGTTGCTGCTCCTTTGCGTACAGCTGGGTTCGAATTTCTTCCGGTATATCATCCTGATTTTCAAGGTCAAGTTTGTTTTTCTTCATTAGATTCACCAGGCGCTTGAGATGGATGGTGCGTCTTCAGAAAGTAATGTTTTTCCCCAACAACAGTATCCATCTCTATTTTCGCATGGTGGCCCAGGGCAACGCATTGTTTTATAGACATCTCGCCAGACCGGACGTTCGCCAGAAATCTGCTCTGCATCGATTTGAGCTTCTGGTCCGCCAGCATACTTTTAGTCACCGATGTATTGCCTCTTTTGTCCCCTCTCTTTGACTGGGATACGTCGTTCTTGTCCGCTAGGTAGTTAATAGAACTATCGAGCTTGATCTTTTTGCCTGTGAGAAACCGGTCACCCCAAGTGCATAGCTGTTTTTCTGTAGCTTCCCAATCGGCATCAATTCCCTCGAATTGTTGATGGAGGTCATGCTGGGTGCGATCATTTAACGAAGCCACGATACAAGTGTCATCTACCCTGATCCTTCGGCTTTAAAAAGGTCGCCGACGTCTAACGCCTTCAACCTTTTTTTTTTTTTCAAAGTGTCTTCCCAAAATACACTTGGACTTATCACCAAATCCGGCTCCGTAACTCTTGCAATAGCCTTGGTGTTGATTGTAGCTTTCCATTTAATCAGGTAATGAATACAAGTTGGCGGGTGTTCATCATATGACTTTTCTTTATCCCAAGCAGGGAAGTGTATGAAATCTAGCCGTATTGGCTGTGGTTCTTGCGTGTTGGCACTTTGACTTCCGTCCAATGAATGACTAGGAAGAGGGTTATAAGTGACTGGCGGGGTTATCCAGTCAAAGAAACTGGGGGTGTGGGCGTATAGCGGGCTCGTTTCCCATAAACCGAAAGGCTCAGGTTGCGAGAGTTTCTCAACATGGCCTGTATTGTAGCTCATTACCTCACAATAGGAAGGGATTCCGAGAAACCTAGGACCAGTGCTCTCGTCAGTTCAGCATCCTGGACGTCATCATGAAAATGGGGCGGAAGCTGACAAGCCAAACAAGATACAAAAGAGAGGCATAGGCGTCGACACTGCCTAGTTATGATAAAAAAGAGTATTGGCTGTCCTCTTTAAGTTCAACTGTCCCCCGTAATGATATCTGCAGGATGAGGGTACAGTAAAAGCACAAAATAACTTACACTATCAATTCGAGGCCGGATCTGCCAGCCACGTGCCCGCTGAACTCTAGAACATTCTCCTGGCTAAAGGACTATCCCCCTGAACACGTAAAGTAAACAACCATGCATCATAGAAACATGACCGGATTAACATCAAAGCCTGGTCTAACGATATTAGCACTAGTGTATCTTTTGGTGTTAATCATAAGAACAAAATGCATGGAGTGTTAAGCTAATTTAGCCTTCTACTGTATTCTGGGTTGAGGGTCGTAACCCAGAACCCAGCACTGGGTCGGACCTAACCTTGGAGCCGACATCACCATAGGCAAATTGTTCTTTTTATTTTAGCAAGTCCGAATGTCCGATCACGCGACCCTTAAGCTTAACCACGATGACGAAGCCATGAGACGTGCTATTCTCGAGCCGACGGTGAGCACACCGAAAGTCCTCCAGCGTACAACCAAGGGGCGATTCCACTGGCTGGCTACTCTCCTATTTCTCATTCATCCTCACTTTTGTTCGCCCATATCCTCCCTTTTATTCAAGCATCATTATCCGTTCTGACTTGCCTACCATTTTTTGATCGCGAAGCTTCAAATTACCGTCTTGGAAGATGGCGGGGAAAAGGGAATTCGGCTCAGAGGGCGCTCAACCTGCCAGCAAGTTCAAAGCTGCGAGGTTTAATGCCCATATATTGAAAAAGCTCCAAGCCGCAGTCATGAAAGATCCGGAGATCAACCAAGCCGAGCAATTCCCCTCAGAATATCCGCAACGTCTTATGGAAATGAGAAATCCAATAGAAAGCTCTAGAATATACGCTGGAGGTTCTAAATGAAGAATAAATGAAGAAACAAGTGTAGATTCAGCGATCGAGAGATGGACAGAGAGGGAGGAGAGAAAGAGAGAGAGCAAAGGGAGCAGACTATACCAGGTCTGTCCTAAGCATTGAGGTGAATGCCTTGTTCGTGACTCAAGTTTTATGTTTACAGTAGATTGCGAAAATGGCTTCCTCTTAAAACGCTTACAATTTGTTTCTCGGCCCGTACCCGAAACAACACTAGTGCAGATTTGGATTTAGTGACAATCATGATAGGCTTACAATCCAAGTTAAATTACCACTAGTCTTAATCGGGTCTCGGGTACAGGTCGAGAAATAAGCTGTGAATGTTTGGAGGCCGTTTTCGAAATCTACTGGTGTACGGCGCAATTGAGGTCCAGATTCGTTTGATGCAAGAGCTCAACCAATTTCACGTCCGAATTACTCACTGCATACCACATTGCGGTGCGTCCATTCTCATCTTGATAATTAAGGTTGATGCATGGACTCAAAAGCAAGGCTTCAGTGATAAGCAGCCGTTGGTTGATCGGTAGGACACGGCCGTGTCCTTTGACAACCAAAAGCAACGGAGTTTCCGATGGTTCAAACAGTTGACGTCAACTCGAGGATTTCGTACAAGCATTTGGATTCATAGTCGTCAATTTCTATCGCTAGGTGCAGTGGAGATTGGCTATGACGGTCGCAGATGTTGACATTTGTTCTCATCAGACAGGAGAAGTTGGAAGACATAAGTTTGGCGACCGGTTGGCGCAATTGAAATGGGCGCATTTTCCAGTGATTGGTTATTGAGATCAACGTTCTGTACATTAAGAAGTCGTTCGATACAGCAATGTTCGAAATTGGCTGCCATGTTTTACATGGGCAAATTAAGCTAGGCTGCAAATCATCCTTGGGTAGTCTTGGCATATAATACAAGACGTGAGACGGAATACGGCCCCGTAAGTTAGCTACGGATATGAACAGTTTCTAGAAACTTATAAGGTTCTAGCTATTGATGTTTCAATCTGACATTTTATATAAGCTGTTCATCTTCGTGACAGGACTCGTTAATTTGATGTTTTCTTTAAATATCACCAAGCAAAGCTCCACTCCAGAGAAATTGAAAAGGGGCGAGTCCTACTTTCTGCCAAAGAGGCGCAAGAAGATTGTCCGCCTATGATTTCCGCTAGGTGTATCAACCGGCTCGGAGGGTTTTGTGGAACTGCCTTGGATTAAGGCCGCTTTGGTTTTCATCGGCGGTTTAGTGAGCTGGGAAGACGGGGAGTCAACCTTACTACGCCATTCGTTTAAAGCAGACTTGGAAGATATAGTATGCAGATGGTGAGGGCCTAATTTGTGGGCGCGAAGCGGAACGTATTCGGCCATCAACTGCAAAGCGGCCGTGTGTTGACCCGATGGCCTAAGGGTATGAGCAAGGTTGTTCATGCTCGTTGGCGTGTGAGGATGGCCGGTGCCGAGCTTCGCCTTGCGAGTCTCTATGATCTGCACCTCGAGTTGCTCCGCCTCCTCCCATCGGCCCTACTTCCTGCACGTTGACGCCAGGTTAGCCATGCTGGTCAGCGTGTCGGGATGGTCGGCGCCGAGCTTCGCCTTGCTGGTCTCTATGACCTGTACAAAGAGCTGCTCCGCCTCCCCCCATCGGCCCTGGTTCCGGAATGTCGACGCCAGGTTAGCCATGCTCGACAGCGTGTGAGGATGGTCGGCGCCGAGCTTCGCCTTGCTAATCTCTATGACCTGCATAAAGAGCTGCTCCGCCTCCTTCCATCGGCCTTGCTTCCTATACGTCGACGCCAGGTTGGCCATGCTCGACAGGGTGTCAGGATGGCCGGCGCCGAGCTTCACCTTGCTGGTCTCTATGACCTGTACAAAGAGCTGCTCCGCTTCCCCCATCGGCCCTGGTTCCGGAATGTCGACGCCAGGTTAGCCATGCTCGACAGCGTGTGAGGATGGTCGGCGCCGAGCTTCGCCTTCCTGGTCTCTATGACCTGCACAAAGAGCTGCTCCGCCTCCCCCCATCGGCCTTGCTTCCTATACGTCGACGCTAGGTTGGCCATGCTCGACAGCGTGTCAGGATGGCCGGCGCCGAGCTTCGCCTTGCTAATCTCTATGACCTGCAAAAAGAGCTGCTCCGCCTCCTCCCATCGGCCCTGGTTTCTATACGTCGACGCTAGGTTAGCCATGCTCGACAGCGTGTCAGGATGGCCGGCGCCGAGCTTCGCCTTCCTGGTCTCTATGACCTGTACAAAGAGCTGCTCCGCCTCCCCCCATCGGCCCTGGTTCCAGAACGTCGACGCCAGGTTAGCCATGCTCGACAGCGTGTGAGGATGGTCGGCGCCAAGCTTCGCCTTGCTGGTCTCTATGACCTGTATAAAGAGCTGCTCCGCCTCCCCCCATCGGCCCTGGTTCCAGAACGTCGACGCCAGGTTAGCCATGCTCGACAGCGTGTCAGGATGGTCGGCGCCGAGCTTCGCCTTGCTGGTCTCTATGACCTGCACAAAGAGCTGCTCCGCCTCTTCCCACTGCCCCTCGAGGCGGTATACGCTTGCTAATATCGCAGTGCTGTAGAGCGTCTGTTCATCCTCCCAGCCAAACAGTAACGCCCTTTCCTTCTGCGATTTAGATGCCATAAGCTTTGATTCCGCAATTTTGCCGCTTTCCTGGGCATACCATGCCCCCTTATAAAGTAGCGTGGCCCATTTTCGTAGAGAATCTTGTGATCCTGGTCGTTGTGACACCGCTGATTTCATGTGTGGAAATATCGACCGGCATCGTGCCCAGTTTTCATATTCCCCGGTCGGAAACGTTTGGTATAGCCTCGTGATGAATTCCTCCTTCCATCGCTCTATTTGTCCATTGGTTTCCAGCCACACACGCACAGTAAGTTGCACGAGCCGGTGCATCGTGAAAACTGTCGTGTTCTCGCCAACAGAAATAAATGAAAAGTCTCTCAATGTTGTAACATCATTATTAAATTCATCATCCGTGTTAGATTCCGATGTGCTATCCGTATCTTCGTTATCCCTCTCGCGTGGAACTCGGAGAAGGTCCTCTGAAACCCCCTGGCAGTCGAAAAAGCTCATGAGGGAGAGTAAATCAGTAGCGGACGGTCGTGTTTGTCGAATATAGTCAAAGGATATTTGCCATGTAACGAGAATCGAATTCTTCGCCTCCCAATCTCGATAGAGATGGCCCGCCTCGTGATAAAGAAGCTTGGTCGCTTCGCGATCACTCTTTCGAAACTTCTCGAGGTACTGCGATACTGAACAGCAGGGTGCTCGATGCACGATATAGCCGGCTGCCTGCACAATCGCTAATGGCATAAACTCGAGTTCTTCCACTAACGTTAGGATATCAGGGGTTTCCGCTAGTCGTCCAAGCTTTCGTTGGAGAAGTTTTAACGCCTGGGGCCGATTCATTGGCTTTATCTCTAGAACGTCCTCGTAGTCGACAATTCTTAACGCCACCTCTTTATTCCGACTTGTGATAATTATAGATCCGTTTGGGCTTCGGGGAAGATGTTCCAATAACGGCTTTATAGAGGTGCTAGTTTGGCCGATCGGGGGGCCCAGCTGGCCCATCGTTGAGGGCTGGCGAAGAAACCCATCATCATCAACATTATCAAGGACAAGTAACCACTTTACTCTCTTCCTATCCCGGAGCCAGCTTTCGACGAGTTGAAATATGTTGGCTGTGGGATCCTGACGCCCGGGAATTTTGGCCTGGTCGGCGATATCCCGGAAGCTTTGCTCGAACCGAGCCGCGTTACTTGCATGGACCCAGAAAACCCATGTCTTGGGCGATAAATCACGAAGTCGATAACAATATTCGATAGCAAGTTGCGATTTCCTGCCGACTGTTAGCACCAAACTACCCGCCAATGTCTTTGCACTGACCCGACACCACCAACGCCCACAAGAGCCATCCTTGACGCTGGGACTGACAGTTTTTCATGTATCCGACCAAGTAGTGTGTCGCGACTGACAAAATCTGGGTCGCGACGGAACGGGACGGTCGATAGAGGAGTCGGTGGGGTTTCCGGTCGCTCTGGGTCAACGGTTACTAGTCAATTTCAGCATGGGAGGGGCCTGATGAAACCTACCCGGGGGCAGATGGATCGATCCATTATTAATTCCCACCTGGTTACCCCGGTTTACGCTACCAAACGATATAAACGATGCCATAGCTGATATTCCATGTATCCCCTGCGTTGGTTCTGGGGTAGATGGAAGATCCAAACTGACGCGGACCCCCGCCAGACCTTTCGGACGCTAAAATACGTCAGGTGCTCGATTCTATCTTTAGAACAATCTAGTTAAAACGGTTTTTTTTTCTCTTCAAACCGAAATGGTGACCCCCGGCGTATCGTACCGTCTTATCATAACATTTACATTTCCGTTCTGGCGCTGGGGTGATCTGCAGTCTAGCTGAATCTAGCCTAGGCGCACCATTGTCTTGTGCGGCGTGGGATAGTTTCTGTAAAACATGGAGGCCAATTTCGAATATTGCTGTAAAATATAGAATAGCTCCCTTACTGTTAGTAAATACATAGCATTGGGCTTTCATGCTTCTCTAATAGCTGTTACGAGCCAGTTCCTTCAATAAAAGAGTGCAAAGTACAGGAAAGCCTTGGTGGACTGCTGGGATTTGTGATCGTCACATATGTTGCTAAACCAAATGAAGTATCCGAGCCCTGGCACGGATAAAAGTTTGACCAACTGCCTTTGGCCTTGAAGGTCCCAGTATCGTCACCACATCATCTCTAGCACGCTATGTTTAGCTCCCACTCATAAACAGGCACATACGACCATAGGGTGTGGAAATCAGGGCTTCCCGTCCGCTCAGCCGTACTTAAGCCACAGAGGTTAAGCGTGCTGAATCTGGACTGCGCCCTAGATGATTTAAAGCAGCACTTAGTTTCTATTAGATCAAGTGCGCGCGATTTGGGTGGATTGGGTGAAAATATCAGGGCAGTCGCGCACCCTCGCGGGCGAGTGAGGGCGAGCGCGCTCATAATTTATTAGGTGAGACTTGGCGCCCCTTCACTACATAAAAGCGTCGCCTTGAGCGATTCTCCTGCTCCACCACAATTTCCTCAACTTTCCTTATCATGGACATAGAACAAAAAATTCAACAACGCCTCAAGGAGAATGAGGTACTTGCGATATCACGTGGCTTCATTCTCGAGTACCAAAAAGGATCGGAAAAGGAGGATAATTTGATCTGCTTTAAAGAATTAGCACCCGCTACCCACGAAAGATATGACGATGCAGCGTTTGAGTGGAGATTGTGAGTAATTTCAACTAGCCCGATAAGCGTTTACTAATTATTCTAAGATGGAAGCTTTCCCGTAACGAGAAGAGGGAGTCGATCATTTCTGAAGATTCGCCGGATCTTACACCACAGGTTTTGAAGTTATTTACTGAGCACTATATTACAACACGGAAACATCTTCCCTTAAGGAAGACGGTATGCCATACCTTGATCAGCTTCACTTCTCAGTGGCAGCGGCTATCTAGGCGACAAATCCCCCATGCAGTGAAGAAGGATGTTCTTAACGTATAGTTTACCACATATTACAATTTCGATTATCAGCTAATAGATTAAGTTTATCCGAATAACTCTTACGCGGAAATACGACCTTCCTACTAAGCCTCGAGAGCGATTCATGGTTATAGCCAAAGATATCGACTATCTACTCCACTGCCTTTTTGTTGACGATTAGCACGACTATGTTCACGAGCGGGCCCGAGTATAAATTGTAAGTGCCCTTTCCTTATTTGCAGGGTCTGGTGCTCGAGCTAGTGCTATTATGGAGTCAAGCTCATATCGAAACTCTAATGAATGTCTTACCTATAAGGTTAGTTAGTCATCCTATCATATCAAGTTTCCTTCTTTTCTTAAGCTGATTCTGAATCCTAAGCATATCACCCTTCACGTTAAATGGAATGGTACCGATTCAACTTTGCGTCGTTAGGTAGTCATCGATTCTGAATTCTTAAAGGGCTGGCGCTACCGTAAGGATAAGCACCAGTGAGTCAAGAAAAAAACGGATGTATGCATACCGCTAATTTCTCGACTCTAGACCTAAGAATTGGTTCAATGAGCACCCTATTCTTAGATTAAACTTCGTGTTTTAGGTTATCGTTCATGGCGTGGCAGATGGCGCATTCCATAACCTCTCGACTCTTAATATGGTCCTTACGGTACGGCCACCACCGGGCAGAGATTCATAGACATTCAAATGGAGCGCAGAATCAATGAAGCTACCGTTTTTCAGAATGATCACAGCCGATGGACCTAATGCAAGCAAAGGCCTTACGTTCTCCTCTCTCCGACATCATTTTGCAAGCCTGGCTACCCGAAGCGGGTTTTAAAATAAATTACGCGTGCATGGAATTCGGGGTGGTGTCGTAAATAAAATTGATCGTACGTACTATGCTAGTAGAGAAGACAGCAAAAGATAACCTTGTGCAGCTAGTGCCTCTCAAGCTGCTCGTGGCCAAGCCCTTAACCATCAAAGCCATGACAGTTATCTCAGTTATCAGGCTCCATATAAGTCGATAGATGTACAGGCTGCATATTATGACTTAGAACCGGACTACGACTGCCGCGACACCTAACAGAGCATGCTGCACTACCAAGATTTAAATGTCCCGCTTCATATGAATGCAGCTGCTCTCGCCGAATTCTAAAAAGACCCTGAAATAATCGCATTAAATGAGCGAATTAGTTCTTTGACTTTGAAAATAAATAATCGGCCTGATTTAAACACATCTTTTGTCAGGGACCGGATCTCTCTTTACGGAAAGAAGACGAAGATTCTGCAGAAGCGAACATCTCAGTTTGTCCAACAATGGTGGAATGCATCCTACGACGAGTATTTATCTGGAACTGAGTTCAAAGAAAAGGATACCACGCCTCTCTTTAATATCTAGCGGAGATATTCACCAGAGCGTGGACGTCTTATTTGCCCTGATACTTCCCCTGAAATAAGGTTAGGATAATCGGGGACGCCTTCATATAGAAATGCTCGTTTGTGTTTGCCTAACGAGAGCTTATCACTTGTTAGAGAGCCCCTTTCCACGTAAATAGATATACGAAAGATCTTTTCAGATTGTTAGCACACGACCATTAGTCTTAAACATTTTACCTACATAGACGTTTTCATCATCTACCAATAAAGGATTGAACTGCTCCTCCGCAGATATCGCATAATCTATGATATTAGTTCAAAATTTCACCTGGTCTCATATAATAGCTCACCTAATTGTTCGACCTGCTAAATCAAATGGATCCGACGAATATGTGACGTGCACGTTTTGTATCCATGAATTAACATCTTAACGTATGGAATCACAGCAGCAAGGCCAGATCCGCTCGCAACAAGAACAACGACTTCATAGTTATTAATAGTTTCACTAAGACCATGTGGTCCACTATAGAGAGCCAGGGAAGAAAACTGGGTTGCTCCAGTGGCTTGAATCCGTCGGGTAATAACAGCAGATAGTCCATGGCGAGGCTGTACCAAGAGATCCAGCTCTTCCTGATTCTTATATGACCAAGATGTGATTGTGAAAGGATGTGATTGTGTCCATGACCAGAAGCTGACTGATGGTAGCCATAAATTGATATATTGCCCAGCCATAACTCTCACTGGTCTCGGCACACGTAGTCGAATTCGGAAAAGAGTTTTACTCACACTACCGTCCTGAGGCTCTGCATCCGCGAGCTGATAAGATGCTGTAGCTATGGGGCCGCCACGGCCCGAAAAAAGCCCGTTTCTATACAGGAATACTATCATCTGTAGACAGCTTGTGATGGTAAGAATCCTAAGGGTGATATAAAGGTAATATCTGGAAAGGTGCCTCTCTTTTGGAATATGCTGCTAAATTCCATAGACGCTGGTTATAGAGAGAGCCTGATGGACGCGAAGAAATAATTCGTATGAGATCCTTCGAAATAGCGGCAAGGACAATATTGCGATTATACCCAGACTTCCTGCTCCCTAGAAGCCGGTTCTTGTAAGCAAAGGATCCTCCTATCCTTTTTTTATTTCACGTACAATAATCGTTGCCTGGGTACTGTGACCCTAAACGGCCCCTTTTTGGTTTAATGATGCAATCCCTAGATGGAACAAAACTAGGCATAATCCCACCCACCCAGAAGCACGATGAATGCGGCGGAATGTTCGCAAAGATAAGCCCAAAAGATCAGCCAGATAACTTAGGTGGCCCGTACATAAAGGGAAACATAAGTTGATCAAAGACAAAGTTCCTGCTCGACGACCCACACCTGCTAAAGATTTCTCTTTGAGTAAAAGAACCACTAAGTTCACTGCGATATAGCTTATATAAAACAAAACCATGGCGCGACTCCATGGGCCTATGAGCGGATGGCGACGAACGACATAGGGATATATAACGTGTCGGGAGGCAAATACCACAATAGACCTTCTCTGTGATGACAGTGACTGCATGAGCTTGATAGAAAGTAGAGTAAGAAAAGTGCCGCCAGCGGCAATTGCATAGACTGTTATTGTTTGCATAGTAGGAGCTAGGTATCGAAAGATCAAGAGATAAAGTCCTTAAGGATAGTGCTTATATTCCGAAAGCCTTTTCTTTTTCTTGGTTATGTATGTCAAGATTTCAACAAGGGTACAGCAAATTGGGTCGCAGTTATAGTTATATAATTTATTAATGAATACCAAGACAATTCATCACCCACATGCATGGTGAGAGTGGCCAGCAAGGGTTAGAAAGTATGTCAATGCGCAGTTCTATGCAGAGGTCGTGCGACCACTATGCGAATGTGGCTGAAATGTGGAATCACTATATAGGTTGCAGGCTTATGATATAGTCATGCCGTAGAAATATAAAGCTGACTAGTTCTCCAAATATCATCATGTTCACAATAGCTCTTCCGATTTAGATACAAAATGTTCCTGTTTCTACTACTCGCAATCCTTTATATACGCACCTCCTATGGTGGCAGTGTTAAGGTCATCGACCATGATGGCGAATGTCTTATGTGGTCGGATGATAACCATGGCTGCACGGGGTACTCGGAGCCTTTCGCTCTCCTTGACGGTGATGACTGTTCACGTTAGTGTATTTCTATACTTATGTTATAGAACTATTGAAGTACTGATAAATCTTATTAGGACTGAGCAAGGTTATAAAGGATAAGCGCGAATATTTCAATAAAATTCGTGTTAATATCTGCGGCACTGAAAACGGTCTACCAGTCGCATGGATAGAGCTGGATCAGAGTGGTCTTGTCGTCTTCATGAATCAGAATGGAGATCACAGCGTTTGTATACTGGAAGATGGATTTAATGTTAGGAGCTCATGCCCCGCCGCCTCGGTATTTATACCGTCCTCTAGTTCATACGCACACCACACCCAATCCTATGTCACAGACTTACCATTGGATCCATTCTCAACTCCGATGGCATTGAGCACATCGTCTTCTACTACGGTCGTGCATTCGCATTCACTGCCACTATCAGCATGTGGTTAAACAGCAATTCAAGAAGATGTAGCTTAAATAGTGATGCACCGAGGCATTGTCGAGTTAAATCTCTGTTTATCCGATTAATGATGCTTAAGGCCATTGTTTCTTTGTGGCAGTATGTAGTGGTGCTTTCTATCAATCATCATTAAACTGCTCCTTTGCTTCCTCCACCCACGTAGTATTACATAATTTGTCTTAAACGTGGACTTAATAGTAATTGGACGGGGAGCTAGGCTGGCTTCTTTACTAGCGAGAGATTCACACCATGGCTAGAATTTGGTAATGACGAAGGGCCGCTGATGGGAGATACCTGGAAAGGCTGCAGTGTTCCCACACATCACGGCACCACGAGAAGCAAGAATTTCACCTGCTATATCTCACTATGGACCCTTCATCGACACACTTTGTTAAACCATTTAATACGTCTAACAACATACACTCAGGATCGAGCACTTTATCCCACGATCCTATCGGAAGATCATTGGATAGATGTCGAAACTTTCAGAGGCAGTTCCGTGAAATCAAACTATCTAACCGAATGCTTCGAGAGGAACTTTATCTGGAGAGGGAGGCGCACCGAAAGTCGTAAGAGGAACTTTGCCAGCAGAGAGAGAGGCCTATCTTAGAGTACAAAATCTCCTATAGGCAGCCGATCACTGGGTGACTATTTAATGTGACCATATGGTCTATAACTTATGCGAAGGACCTCCGTTTGACACTGTCAGGAACTGTGAAGAAGGAGGCTACAACAAAATATTCGACGAACGTGGCCTCTCTGATCTCATATGCATGTCCATTATGGGTCCTGTATCGGCAGTACTTCCTTCTTCGTTCATTACGTCCGGCGGAAGAGTCACGCAGCACGTAGGATACATCCCTGACTGGGGCGCTGGGCATGATGGGGCTGCAGATGTGTATGGAAAGGCTAGAGCCCTTGTTATCGGGGACACGAAATTCAACTGGTCATTAACCAACGCCTTTAATGTTATCCTGAAAAACAGGTTATATGAAGATTCACCATTGATCGACACAGTCAGGCCTATCGAGCAAGTCCAGCATTACGGCGCTGTCTACGGATGTCGGTATGTGTATATTATCAGCAACCGGGAGCTCGTGGTAATGCGGCTCCATCTAGCACCATTCCCAGTTCGAACATCACCCAGACCTCAACGCACCCGCCCACCACCCTCACATCAACGGGTGATATCTAGTTCCACAATTTCGAAGCAATTGACAGACATGTCTATTGATGAGTCTTCCTTCAAAGCTAGTATTGGGCTGGTGGAATACAAGAAAATTCCTTGGAGCGCTACAAGCGGACTTACGATCAAATTGGCATTGTATTGCCTTGTTCGTTTAGCGGCCGAGGATGGAAATGATCTCAAACCCGATTATCCGCCTTTGGCATCTAAAGTGGGTCTCCTATCCACCGCCCCGCCGAGTTCACAACCGCGAAACCCTATACCAACAGCAAGCACTGTCACCAGTACACCACAAGCAAGCAACGAAACGGAAGCCCAATTCTACGATACCGTCATAGGAATGAGCTCTCCCTCCTTCAACTCCCAGCCTGAGTGTGATGTCCGAAAAGTAGCGACGCTGGAGTTCTGCATTTATCAGCACGTAGCCTATATTATAAATACAACATGGACTGACCTGCGCGAGCTGCTGAAGGATTTCCCGCAATTTAATTTCCGAACATTGCTCTACAAGTTTGAATCGAGGAGACTGCTTCCACTCCGCGTGTGGGTTCGCTTCTAGCCAGGTTTTCAACTCCTCCACAACTGTGTGTTCAACATGTTCAAGCGTTTTCTGGAGGACCTCGTCGCTGTTAGGCAGACTCATATGGAAGGGTATGGACCGGTGAACTTATGAGAAAGTGTAAGCCGTTATCGTGAGAACACCGTGAGCTGGAAACTTACCTTCAAAATGCTACAAAATTATACAAAACCAAAATGTGTATCCTCCACGTCACCGCAAGGCAAAAGCAGTTAATTAGATGGCAGATATTGGTTTCATGAAGGCTTTGTATAAGGTATGGCACGATTGCTGATTTTGATCTGCCTAAAGGCCTGTCTGGCAACAAGGTTAGGTTTTCGACTGCCTCGCGCGAGGTTCATCACGTGGTGCTCTGAGAGCCCCGTATTGATAAGGAATCACTTGTTCACCAAGGAAATGTGTGGAACCAGCACGATCCCACGGTTTCTTTTTCCTTTGTGCACTCTGTATAAATAAATCACTCCAATGCCTACTTTATCCCTGTTTCCGCTATCGTCCGCCGTAGGCCGGCTAGCAAAAGAAAGAAAAAAGCCACACACCGCGCCACAGGAACAGCACCTCGACTGCGCCACTTGGAAACCTCCGTATAATAAACAAACTGCTCGCGCCCGATTAATCCAACCTTGACTTTCCGACTTCCAAGCAAGATACATAAGAGTGGACATTAACTCGTCCTTCTGCACCCACTCCTGGTTTTTCGATCGACTATAAACAGTGTTCCCCCCCCCCCCCCCCCCCCCCCAACCCTCCCGGGCGGTTCACGCAGCATCTGCATATCTGCATTCAGCTTATCGGTGTGCGACGATGGGCGACGCCTTGCGCCCAGGTGATGATGAATTCAGTCAGGTCCTTCAGGAGAGTCTCAAGACATGGACTTCCTATTTAGCTACCGAGAACAAACAACATCTACTCCCCCGGCAAGCCATAAACATGAGACCTCTCGTCAGCCAGACCCCGTCCTTCCTCGGCGATGGAATTGCTTCGTCTGACGAGACGATTTCGTTCGCTTGCGAGGAGAAGGAATCAGCACAAGGGAAAGGCAGTCTTATCGTTAATGGCAGATCAACATGGAGGACTTCTGAAGGAATCTGTGACCTACAGCCAAAGGTCCTGCCTAAGCAACTTCTGTTGGCAGTTGGCAGTCGATTAAATGTGGAACTGTCTGAAGACTCTCCTCTGTCAGACTGGCCCGGAGTTCAGGGACTCTCGGGCTATGACAAGGGAAACTATCTATCAGTTCTTTACTTTGCATGGGCCTACATAATATCTGCTCGATGGGTTGAGCTGCTTGGTCGCTCTGCTGACCACGAATGTCATATGGGCTACACTTCCGATGGGATGGAGGGTCCATTGCCGCAGTCGGACAATCAACCCATGGTTGAAATTGACATCGGCGACGATGCTTGTGAGGAGGAAGTCCTCTGGTGGCGGGCCATTCTGTGTTCTAACGATGGCTGGGATGCAACCGCCAAGTATAATGGCCATGTCTATTTATCACCATGGTCGATTTCGTCAAAGAAGAGGGGATTTACCTTAGCCACCAAGGGCTTTTTGGGCGCCAAGTCAGAAGCCCCATTGTCTGGGGCCGCTCTCAACTACCTTACTCGTTTCTGTGTGCACCACCGGCTTTACGCTCAGTGCTCGGTCGCCCTTGCTGGGGTTCTCTACATTCCATCCCTGAGGGGGAGAACAGTATCACTTCCGCTTCTAAGACAAGCTTCTCGGCTGGAACTAACACAGTGTGTTGGTGGCTCACCAGTTTCCATTCCAGATCTTCTCATTGAGCTTAACGAATTGCTTCCTAAGTACATGACGTTAAGCTCCAATACGTGGGGTTTACGTTCTCTTCTGTGCAGCACCTTTTTCAATCCAGTTATTGAGTGCAACCTTGTCAGCGCCTGGCTGAATCCGGCTTTTGCGATTATCGATTCCATCTCACCCAGAAAGAATGAATTAGCCGCATTTTTGGCCAATCGAAACCCTCTACTCGGGACCCTCTGGCTGGGTGCAATTCTCACAGATCTGGCAAAGACTGTCTTGCGCGACATACGAGCTGGAATGACGGCTTTGGATCTTCCAGCTTCGGCCTGGGCCACAACAATACAAACATTTATGACCTGTAACATGGGAACCAGCAACGGTGAATCGATACGCCGCGATGATGAATGCCGCCTATTGTTCATTACTGCCTGCGAAGGCCATGATCGACCTCCAATATGGCCTTGGAAGCCCTTTGGGGACACACAACTTTGCGACACAGACCTAACGGTCCGACAACATGCTCAATGTTTTCATTGCTTAGAATATGAATCTTGGGAATGGATATTGGCGAATGGCCATTCAATTCAGGATTTCGGGAAAGTTAATAGCAAGACCCCTAGCCAAACAGCGCACCCCCCAACATCACATATGCTGCACTGAGCGATTATAACTATGATTTCTTCTCGCAATCGCTTTCGGAAGTAGCCACCCGTGGGATATTTCAATGGTTAAGATCAACGGGGTATCCTCGCTGCGAAAAATCCTTGTACCAGCATTCATGGATTGATTTGGAAGGCACTGACGACGAAGAAGAGCCTGATGATGCGGAATCAGACGCGGAAAAGTACTGGAGTCCAAAGAAAACGCACGTTGAGAGCTGGCTTGACGGAATCGAATAGCGCTCATGAAATAAGTCAGACCGTGAGGTCGATGTATTCATGAAAGCCATCTGGGCCGCCAGCTGGATGTTCGTGACATTTGGCACAGATGGCATATACCCCTGAATCGCCATGATCACCGGTTTGACAGGTTTTCCAGGTTTCCCCTTCCCGCATTACTGACGCCGTCAACTGATGGATTCCCCGGCCCCCACCAATAGGTTTGATAATTGGACAGTTTACCACCGATGCCCACGGCCCCTCCGAGCTATAGATCCCGCCACCGCTTTTACCCACGGAGGTTCTCAATTTTCCATCGTGCAGCAGACAAGCGTCAATATCCTGCGCCTGATTGGAGAGCTTGACAGAGGGAGAAAGGTAGAAAGGGCTCACAGTTTCAGGAGGACAGTCAATAGATGATTTTCTGGATGGTACCGGTTTTCCCACATATGGGCGGCTACAATTATTGGATATCAGACTATCCATGTGCTGCACCAAATGGTAGATTGGGGCAGCTACTGATTTACTAGTTGGTCGGCACTTTAATACGTGGCAACTCGTACCAAATTATTATGACATACGAACCGCATTTCACGGCGGCAAAACTAGGGTTTCATGCTGCGCGTCTCGCCGTGTAAATGCAATCTACGCCGCACGGAAGTTTATGCACGCCAATTTGATATTCTCACAGCTGTCCGTCATTCTCAGTGCTATTCTAGTTTATTTATTTTTACCTTTTTTTTCGACCCCGACTTAGTCCTCCACCAATGGGGCCAGGCGTAAAAGCTCAATGGATGCATCTCTTGGATTATTTCAGCAACCTGCGCAGCGATTTTCCCTTTAGTATCACGGGGTAGGCCGTTCCAGCACTCATCCAGCGGTTGATCTGGGTTAAAACCCATCACAATACACCCGGACACACGAGAAGCATTGAATAACAACTGGGTGACGACACGATTAAGAGATTTTACTAAAGATTCTGCTTCCAAGGTGCCAGATGAGGTTTTCAGTCCAGCCGAAGTTTTGTCATTCCTATTGGAGCAGAAGGCCTCGCCTTTTGCCGCTGTTGCTGGCGTTAAAACCTGGGGTAAATGAGGCAGCGAGCCAACTGAAGAGAGATGGCTCTTGGGTATAAGAGGGACGATAGGAATGAGACTGAGGGCGAGCGCAACGGGGAGGCAAAGATGCATTCTCCCAGGAAATGACGGAGGGAAAAAAGTGGGGAGAGTTAAAAATGGGTGACAATACACGGATAAGCGTATCTCACATGACACTAATTTCTGGAGGTACCTTTTATCAATCGACTTTAACATTTTTTCGTCGTAACGTTCCTACAACGTAACCACAGCTTCAAAACCAGTGCAGGCTCATTTTTGTATTTTATCTCCCTTAACAAGAGCACCTATCATGGAGGAAGGGGATACTTGGACGAACCTATTTTTCTCTGGCAGCCGTCCAAACATTCTGAAAACGAACGAACTCGAGGGCCTAAAATTCCGACCTTTTTGTGCTGAAGACGACAACTGGGAACTAGGAAGCAAGGTCGATACATCAAGAATACCAGATGCGAATAGTATACAGGTGTTTTGGCTTCGGATCAAAGGGCGCAGAAAATATATCGGCAAAGTCGTAAGTGGAGACAATCATTATACGCGTGCCCCGATTAATCCTATCCAAGTTCCCTTGCTATTCTAAGCAGGATGCCATGATACAGCTTCATCGTATCGGAGTATTGCTAAATCCGGAAAGGATAGACAATGCTGTGTTCGAGTTTGATAGATTTTATCGGGAGGCTCGGGCATACAGCCATATTGACCTATTCTGTTCCGCCCGTGAAAGAATTTATTTTCCACAATTCCACGGAGTGATCACGGATATACCAAAATCTCGATTTTCTTCTGGGTATTGCCACGAGCGAGCGATTGTGCTGGAGGCAATAAAACCGGACTTACGTTCTCGACGTGTTCTCAGTGAAGTTGTTAATCACCAGTCTCAAAGCTTCTTAGCTATCCTTAAAACGCTATCCGAAAGATTTTGCACCACTCCTGAGGTGATTTCCTTAAGCCCGTTTGAGCAGGAGTGGTATCATTCTTTGCTGAAAGACCGACTTCGTCGCCTGGATGCTTTACATCGAATTGGCATAACCCATGGCGACATCCATGATTTCCACTTTCGACTTCCTAATGACATTTACGATACAGTTCTATACGACTTCTCTGAATCGTACACTTTCTCCATGAGGCAGCCTTTTCGGGTGAGTGGCGGAAGACTTCGACCTTTAAGCCTTATATCAGAGGGTGAACGTGAACGTGTCCTTATACACATCCTCAGTCGGTAAGAAAGAAGATTTAAATCTTTATATCGTCACTAACATATGTTCAGAGCCGCCTCACGAGATCTTCGCTCCTATCTGATACATTTTAACCATAAAGCTTCCGTTGCCGGCATCTATTCTAAACACATTTCTTCTGTTGATAACGCACTCTGGCAGCCTCTAGATAAAGAGGCGGAATTGCTAGAGTTAATCATGCTGAAAGTCTCCTATCACCCAGATGGTCAGTTTTTATTTATCCGTTCCCAGAGTTTAGATGTTAATTATTAACTATGCTAGACTTTTCAATGCCGACCTTAAATTCCATTTTCCCTTTTTTAGAAGCCGCCTGCCCAAACTCTGACCTCTGCTGGCACATTCGTCGAGGCAGGCTTTTACGTCAATATGAGTCAGTTTGGGCAGTCTTTTGTGACGATAAATCCAAACTCCAATCAATGACCTTTGATTGTGAGCCGCAATTTGAAACGATTGAAAAAATGAAGGACTCGCGCTTTATACTTTGCTTAGTACCACATTCCTGGGGGACTGCGTCATTAAAGACGAAATTTGTTTTTGCCGGACTTTATAAGCTACGGGAATATTGCGCTGGTTTTATTTTAGCAAAACTTCCCGGAGCAATTTTAAGTCGAGCCGATTTTTGGAAAGAAGCGGAGTCTATAGGAACTTGGGATATAGATTCATGAAGAATGAAATGTGATCCCCTAAGGCTTGCAGGGCTTACGTGATTAATGCCTAAGGCAGAGAGGCACTTGCCAAGTATGTGCTGGGTATTCGCTAGGAAGTGGATTATGTAATTTTAGTCTACTTGACCGCACTTAGATATAACCAATGACAACCATGCGATTCTCTTAGTATCACATTCTCATCTCTCTCTTTCGATCTCTCTTCTTTTCTCCCCCATGCATGCAATAAGACAGCCAGCTTTGGTACTCCTTCCCCTGGCTTCTGAGACTTATATTTACTTAACCTTTAGGTAGTTCCTAATTATTAGTAAGTAGAGGCTTTCCTAAAATAAGCCAATAAATATTAATTTTCCTAACTTACCTATCCTAACTCCTTAACTTTTAAAACTTTTCACAGAATTCTATATTATATCCTATAAAAACATTCCTACTTATGACAATGATCTTACCCAAATTTAAAGCATAGAGTATAAAAGGAATATCTAGCTAGAAAAGGCTAAGATAATAAGTAGCTTGATGACCCTCTCAAAACTACCTAAATTTACTATTTTATATAAAGCTATATTATAAAGAAGCAAACTATTAAAAAAGATAGTTAAGGTGATTAATAGTTACTAACAGATTTATCACTAAATATAACTAGGGGTTTCTATAATATATCTAAGTGTAAGGGGTCGGTCGCTGCGCTGGTTTCGCGACTTTATGTAAAGGTTTACGATTTCCAGGTGTAAGGCCTGTCAACCGGGTAAGATACAATGACTTGGAGAGGAAACGAGGATATATTGTCTGTGTGTGCCAAGACTAACTCTTGCCAAAGAAAGAGGGGATTCAGGGGAATCCTGGACTATGTGTGTCCCCATGTTCACGTGGGAGCCATGTGACTATTCCTTGGCAGTTCGTTCCTGATACATGATCGATGCGGGTGCGATCAGGTGATTCCGTCTCCATGTTGTAAGGATATTTATCCGTTACACTTTACCCATTGCACCAAAAGGTAAACAATATGTTAGATCAAGAGATCTAACATTGCCAGCGCACTATATACCAACGTACGACGTATGAATTAGGCATAGCCAAATTCTATCACTGGGTTCAACCCATAACACTAAGCTATACTATAACCGGATAATAACCGCGATCCCTTAGGTGGTGTCAGTACTGGCTGGTGGATTTGCTGGTTGAGCTGCAGCACTGGGGAAGATGGAGTACGGCAGGGCACAACGACCAAGGGTGTAGTTTGCTCCCTCACCTGCATCTCTTGCGTCCATCTCTTCTTAGTTCTTCAGCTTAGTGTCTTCGTTCCTTTGGACGCATAATTCATCGAATTCCATCAGTTTCGTGATTGCTTTGCCAAGTCTGACAGGTGGTTAGTCTTTAAACGGGATTTAAGGCAGTAGGAAAGGTAGGAATAAATATACTAGAACTAGTCTAAGGCTAACGTATTTCACATGCGAGTGGTCCACACAAGCCAGTGGTCCACGCCAAAACACATAGTAAAAGCGATAAATTACAACATGTTAGTGCAACAACGGTTTTGTATATAAACTGGCTCTTGCAGCCTAATGCTGCTTATATGATATCTAGTTACTTTATATATTTTGAGGGAATTTAATAGGCTGGTAATTGAGATATATATATTTGTAGAATCCAGCGGCGTAATTTTTAATACCACAACAATGGAAGTATTCAATTCGTTTAAGATTGATATATTATATTAAAAATGCTTATCAATCATTATCGGCAAGTTATGAAGCTAGATAAAAACGTTAGTTGTTGAAATATAAGTGACAACTATATCGCTTTTACTATGTGTTTTTGCGTGGACCACTCGCTTGTGTGGATCACTCGCATGTGAAATACGTTAAATATTCTAATATATAAGTAAGAGCTTAGAGATAGATTTTACTTTGGTATAACAAGTCTAGGAATATATCTATATGATAGCTTTAAGTATAGAGGTACCAAAGGGCTTCTTAAGAGGGTCAGGAAAATAATTAGTAGAGTGTTTCTTAAGCCGATAGCTAGTATATGGAACATGCAGAAATATTTTCTATAATCTCAAGCTTATAAGCTTACCTTAAATAGGGTTATAGGGCCTTATAGGATATCCCTTAAGCGGAATACTTAGAGATATCAACAACTCGCTTAGCAGACATCAAAAATGCATGATTGTAATAGGTCGCATTTCGTAGGGAGTCGAGGCTATACGAGAGTCCACGCCCTAGGAAAGGGAAGAGATAAACAGGGGATGGATTGCTATTAAGCAAGACTTTTATAAGTCGAATAAAAGATACAGCCATCTGTATAAGGCAGACTCCACCCCTGCTATTATATGAGTTCGAGGATGTTTAAGGGGCTTCTTGTGGACAACTGCCTAAGTATTACATTGTATATTTAGTAAGTGATTCTCTTTCCAGACCAATTCCTGGATTCGTACGCCAATTTGTTTCACTTGAACATTTGTATATACTCCGTATGAGGGCTATGTATACATGTTACTTCGCTTGTGCAATACGGGCGCTAAAGTATGGTAGAATTGAGAAGCTAGCCTTGATTAACAGCCATGAGTTAGGCACCAAGTCAAGTGTTAATTATACATTAGAAATACAAAGCAATATCAGCGAGTCGAGGAATATGATCTCCTTAGGCCCGCTGTTGGGTTCGATCGGCTGGGATAAGTCCCCGATGCCGTAGGTGTTTCGGATGGATTGCATAGGATCTGGGTGGCTCTGACCTCTGGCGGTAGCAGAAAGCCCCCTTTGATTCTAACGCGATCGGCGTATTGTGGTGCACCACGATGGTCGTCTTTCAGCAGCTCTCGCGAATATAGAGGGGACTCAAAGTTCTGGAAACAAACCGCTAGACAGGTTTTGTCTTGCAGTTGTCCGAGGCATAGCGCCGATCCCGAAAGGCCTCCTAGCGGGTCTTCATCATTTTCAGTCCGCCATAGGATCGAAACATTCTGCGATAGTACTTCTCTGTCCCAGAGATACTGCGAGCCTTCTGTGAGCGCTGCCTGTGCTTCCCTTGATATCCCGCTTTCTGATCTCACAATGGTATTGCCTGTGGGAATATTGAGGCCTGTCACAAAGACTGGTTTTCCATCAAGAAGGTCTGTATAACTACCCCAACCAACCACACATGGTGTTCGATCAGGGGATGTAACTTCCGGTAGTTCCTGGGAATTTGTGATCAATGATAGATCATGCACAAACCCAGTCGGGAAACGAAGGGGCCTTGCTGAAATCGGATCGTAGGTAAAAGAGATGGTCCCGATCTATTCTCGGTAAGTTGTTAGACAGCCACAGATGATAGCAGAGCAAGCATACCTGTTTTGAATCTCCAGCGAGGAACACTTGCTGACCAAGTGGCGAATTACCCATTGGATGACGCCGAGCAGACCCAATCGCTCGCATAGATAACCCACTTTTGATGGGGGAATATCGAGCCAGTTTTATCTTAATGTGACCATACCAGTCTGCAATTCGAAGGAGAGGAGCTGATCGGATATATCGGAGAGTAATAAATGCATGCGTGGGGACGGTTATCGCCTCTTGGCCTCCCGGGAAACGAATCTTCAACCCAAGCGCAGCGTATGCCTCGACGCAGTCTGGCCTTGCAGCAATTGCAGCGCCTTTTGAAACCATTGTCCGGGTCGGTGTGTCCTCAAGAATATCGTATCTTAGTCTTAGGGTGCCAAAGGTGCTTGCCGGTCCATCTTGCAGCCAGGAATTCTCCATGTCGGCACGGCTCTTGAACAGAATCACGATGAAACCACTTATGAAAACTCTTGCGCCGAGCGAAGTTGGGAACATTTCTCGTAACAGGTGAAGGTGATGTCGAGACAAAAACTTCCGAGGATTGAGAATAGCAGGGATGGGGTCCGATTGGTACTTTGGCCACATCGTAGTTGTCCTTTCCATGAGCCCAGTTGGTTTGAGGTGAATCTCGAGACCCCCGGCATAAGCGCCAATCGACCTGGTCTCATCAAATCCTGGCGACACCACCCATATCCACTTGTGCTCCGATTCTTCCACCAGATATACTGAGTCAAGTTGGCTAAGAGATGGGTGGTGCGTTCGAAGCAATCGTTGATTTGTGTCTGTCACTTTGGGCTCGATCGAGGCACGCTTAGCTGCAGCCGCTTTGTCGCCCCACTCAACAGAGTCTGTTGCTACAATAGAGTTAGCTGATCATCATTTTCTCCATCGCCAAGTGGAAATACATACTAGGCACAGGAATCAAATGTCGCAGCTCGTGTAAGGACCCCACCGGTAGATAACCATCCTGATCGTTGGTGACGCAGTCCGCTGGAAGAACAGGGTATGGGAAAATCGAGTCATCCGTGGAGGATACACGTTGCTTCTTCGATACCGGGGAGCTCCGTCCAGGCAACGGAGGCCCTTCTCGAGAAGGCATCGCGGATGGGGTAATCAGGTTGATTATGATTGGGAGAAAAACAGCCTTGGCGAGTGGGTCAGAATCGCCTGCAAGTTGTCCATTGTTCTCGGAGTGGTCACCTTGTAAGAGCGGGTCCTTGGATTCCTCACTTCTGACTGGCCCCTGAGACCCCCGAGCGTCCGCCGCACCGCAACCTTCCCGGCCCGCGTGCAAAAACCTCAGTGTCACACCCTTGAGCACAGGTCAGGATGAGTTCCTACAGAAATTGAGAACAAACCGAAGGAAATGGACGAAAAACCATACTCTCAGATTGCACGAAGGAGAGAAGCTAAGCTAAGAATAAGTTGTGGGAATATGACCCCTCATTTGTCATGTGACCTTTCCCTGACCGCCTTTCTTTCTGTCATCACCTCCAAGGTTGAGTGCCTGGTACATGTTGTCGAGATGAAAAAAACAAATAAAAGGCCTTAGACCTCTGTGCCGCATTGATCACCAACCGAATTTCAATTTGCATAAATGGTGGGCATGGTCATCTAAAATATGCGACGCTGAGGGCAGTACGACCGAAGACCAAAGCCAACTCAGCTGAAAGGGGTCAGTGAAGTGGTCACCCTGCAGATTATGATTCTCACCCAGGCTCACCCCATTCTCACCCTGTCTATTGCGCACTCACCCTAACCACCCGAGTCGCGCGACCGTACAGCAACGCTCACCCATTTCTCACCCCGGCGACACCCACCGGACTACTGACTGCACATAAGCCACACGCCGGTGAGTTAGTAGTTGGGTGGGTGACCACCAGCGAATCCTCACTGTTGTATGTTTTTTGCTTTTTTGTACTATTATTATAATAACAATGAAACAATTGTGAAGTAAAGGTGAGTGAAGAAGAGTCATAGATCCTTCGCTAAGCTAATCTTGTCTCGAAATGGATTGATAATTTACAACTGTATGAAGAGGTGTAAAAGGGGTGGTTTATATTTAGGCCAAACTTGGGTATCAGGGCATCAAATGGGTGTATACGACACTGAGCGCTATGCCCCTTAGTACGCCCCGTCCTCCATGTGATCCCCTAAGGCAGGGCTTACATGATTAATGCCTAAGGCAGAGAGGCACTTGCCAAGTGTGCCGGGTAGTTATTCGCTAGGAAGTGGATTATGTAATTTTAGTCTACTTGACCGCACTTGGATATAACCAATGACAACCATGCGATTCTCTTAGTATCTCACGCCGAAGCGATATGCAGGCTACCATTTTTCAAAAAGCCAATCTCGTATCCTCATGGGTCGTTTATTTCGCGATTTCGATAACGACTTTGCCGATTTGTTGCCCACCCTCGAGTCTTTTGTACGCCTCGCGGAATTCCGCGAAGGGATAAACGCGATCAATTATAGGTCTGACTTGGTGTCGTTCCATAGCCTGAAGCATAGCTTCGAACTCGACCCGCGAACCAACAGTAGATCCAGTTACTGTGAGGGATCGAACGAGGATGTCAATTGGCGGAAGGCCGCCACCGAAACCGCTTGCGAATCCAATCAGGACGACGACGCCAGTGATCTTGGTCGATGCTGCGGACTTCACGATAGTCTTCTCTCCGGCAATATCCAGCACCTTGTCAACACCTTTGCCACCCGTCAGAGCAAGGATCTCCCGATCCCAATCAGGGGTGGTACTGTAATTCACAACAGCATCGGCTCCAAGCTCTTTAAGCTTAACGGCCTTCTCATCCGAGGATGTGATTGCCAGGACACGAGCGCCGAAAATCTTCGCAAATTGTAACGCAAAGAGCGAAACACCACCAGTGCCTTGGATCAGCACGGTCTGGCCCGGCTGGAGCGGCTCAACTTTGTTAAGGGCCGTCCAGGCGGTAACAGCCGCACAAGGAAGGGAGGCAGCCTCGACGTAGGACATATAACGAGGGATGCAGACGAGTGCGTCTTCGTTAAAAGTCACATATTCAGCTAACAGCCCGTCGACAGTGAAACCAACACTACTTGAGCGATATTCCGGGGTGTATGGGCCAGCAATCCAATTTGCAGTGCAGCCGACTGCGACGCGGTCGCCTTTTGCGATCCGCGCGACATCTTTTCCGACTGCAATAACCTCTCCAGCACCGTCAGAAACAGGAATACCGTTTTCCTTAGTCGGCGCACGATATTCACCCCTCAACAGAGCCGTGTCGCGGTAGTTCAGTGAAGCAGTGTGGACCTTGATCAGGACATCGCGCGGACCTGGAATCGGCAGAGATTCGTCACGAAGTTCAGCGGTAATCTTGTCGCCGGCTTTGGCAATGCGAACAGCTTTCATTTGTGCCATGTTTAGGGTTTTGGTTTTGGCTTTCAATTGATTGAAAGATGTCGAGAAATTTAGAGTCCCTTCACATTGAGCATAATGAGGGGAGTTGCCGAGCTAAATATCTTTTGAGGTGTTAGGAAGCGTTCGGTTAGGGTAAAAATGATGACGTTTCCGTCTCCTAAATTCCAAGTGAATTAGTGATGGGATTACGATAGCACCGTTGGAGCTGACAATTTCTCGTCGGCTCCCACCGGTATCCCACCAAATCTCAAATAATATTGAACAGTGCTGATGGAGATATGTCAGTAGCTGTTCCAAATTTTCTCTTTAGAGATTCATGTTAGTATTCGTTACGTCATTTGCAGCGCCCGTTCTTTTTTCGAGAGCCATATCGGCTGGAAACAAGAGATGTCAAATGTAAAGCGTGATTAATATCAAGAAAGAAATAAAGAGACTCAAGGTGTAACGGGCCCTGGCACGGATAAAAGTTTGACCAACTGCCTTTGACCTCGAAGGTCCCCGGGTCCTCCATGATCTTCCAAGGTCATGTGACCTGATCTTCGCTTCGGCATCGGACTATCGATTCATCCGGGTCTGGAAAGTTGAAGACGGGAAATAAATATCAAGCCAAACAGAATCAATCGCTACACAAGTGAATCTTGGGATTATGACCCTGGTTGATGGTTCCCTTCTTACATGATTAGATTATGGTGGATGTTCTGTCCATTGATGTACTTAAGCATATGCTAATGGTCTAACATAGTGGTCAAATAGGCTGTTCATACGAAGATATATATTTTCCCAGGCTCTATGCAAAATCACCATACATTACAAATTCCACATACCACTTCAGATCTGGGGCATACATGTATTAACTACAATTAATTTAAGATAGAATTTCGCAACATAAACATCACGGATTGAAGTATCTCAGATGATGTCTACTTTTAAAGGATCAATCTGCCCTGGGCTAGAATAGGCGATGAGTCAGCTTCCCCAATCTCCAGGACTCCAGGCCGAGGTCTCTCTGTGGAGGTTCCCAACCTCCATTGCCATTGTCTTCAAATAGTTATTTTCTGGCGTCATGCATCGAGTTCTAAAAAGAATCAAGAGACAAGTTTGAAACATGAGTTTTAGCAGAAAGCGAGCAGCCCTGGCTTGTACTTTTTGTCGCAATCGGTAGGTGACCTGTCTCCGATTTCTCATGCCAGTGCTAAGCGAAACGCAGGAAACGGCGATGTGATGCTCAAAAGCCGTCATGCGCTCACTGCAGAGAGCTAGAAGTGGAATGTCACTATGATGATTTACCCTCCCAGAGGTTCGTGTCGGTTGACTATCCATGGGCGAATGTCGTCTTACAAGGATAGGATCGACACCACCGGTGGCACTCGAGAAATCCTCAGCCGCTTACGTGACATCGAGGCAATGCTGAAGACTCAGTCATACCAGATCTCAGACATCAAAAAGTCCCATATTGGTGCCCATGCTGTCCCCGATGCCTCGCCACCTGGCCACACATCGGCGGCTATTGCAGGAGACGTTCCGAATGCTACCATGCCCTCGCCCTGGGCATTCTCTGGATTAGACATCCAACCCACTTTGCCAGAACTACCCCCATTGACAATTCCAGTCAAACACAAAACCTCCTCAAGTTACCTCCTGAGTTTACCCCCAGTCAAATCCCTCATCGGGGAGTATCCGACCGATTTGTTTTTCTTGTTAGAATCACGGGCCCACCTCCCCCGGAGCTGTCATTCGAGACATGGCCAGTACCAGAACCGTCAGTTGGAATTGAAAGCGATCTTGCTACTAATCTAGTATCTATCTTCTTCGCATCAGCCCATCATGACCATCCAATCTTGGACCCAGGCGGGTTTGAGGATATCTTCAGCCGGTTTCTGGAAAATGGGCCTGATTCAAGTATTGAATCGGCTTTATGCATGGCTGTCCTAGCACTTGGTGCCGTCGCTGCTTCGCCGCCAGATGCGCATGCATTTCTTCATTCACCCCCAGGCATGGAGTACATGCAGCACGCCATGCCAACCCTTCTCAGCCAGTCAGCATGGTCAGTCTCATGTAGCCTCATGCTACCACAGGCACTCGTTCTTGCTAGCGTGTATTTCGCATATATCGTCCGCCCCCTTCAAAGCTGGCGACTCATCTACTCTGCCACGACAATAATCCAGTTCAAACTTTCAGGGTAAGGTTTCTGACGGCCCCAAAGATTGAACATCTCTAATCATAACGTAGAATCGATCGTGAACAGAAAGAAGCTTGGTGGCGTGAGAGCTTGATTCGTTTATTTTGGTCCTGCTTTTTGATCGAGTGCGATCGACTCGCCGAGCTGGAACTCCCACGAAGTGGGTTGCAACATCTGATGGACGACATTAGTCTTCCGGAGTGCACTAATCTTGGGATGATGCAATCGACCTGCTACCTTGCAGAGATATCTATTCGAAGATTACTAAACCGCGTGCATAATTCCCTCTACCCGAGCAAGAGACGCGGCTTGATGCTATCGTCCACCACATTGACCACCCCGGACGAGTTTTCCATGGATGATATATCATCCATGAGTGCAGTCTGCGATGAGCTACATTTGCAACTTGAGATGTGGCATTCTTCGATACCAGACAGCATTCGTCCAAAACTCAACATCGAAGCTTCCATGCAGGAATCGAATGATCGCCAGGCAATACTACGAATTCGGTATTTTGCCGCGCGTCATATAATATACAGACCATTTGTTCTCTTTCTTGTGACCCACGATGTCACCTGCATATCCCAGGATATTGTTGAGAAGGCTGGGATTTGCATCGAGAGCTGCCGGTGTTACATCCACAGCACGACTCGGATCCTAAAGCACCCGAGCCAGTACACGTGGACATTCTCTTTATCGTATGTGACCTGTATCGAGAAGTCTTTGACGAATACTGACTAACACAAATCTTACAGATCACTGGGTGCCATTGTTATTTTAACGCTCGCTTCACTCAATCCCGCTTTGCAACATTTGGTGACGGATATTGACGCACTACAAACCCTGGCTTTGAATAATATTCGACCGTGGGCTTTCTCCAGTCTTGAAGCTGTTATAACTATACTTGAAGACGTTCAGAAAAAGCAAAGACTCTTCACGCGTATGAATTGCTGACGAGTCACGAGTCGACAGCTCCTGCAATGAGCCTGCAGGGGCTAATTTACAGAATTCACGCGAATACGAACAACGTACTCGGCATTTCCTTTATTTACAACTCTCCCCCAGTGGGCTGAGCAATGATTTCAAGACCAATATCACTCTCCCAGAAACTCCCTGATGGATACGTATACTTCTCCAAAGCTGTGTCAGTATAGCCCGTGGAATATCCTGGATCGAGTGGTGTGACATAGTGCGCATTCTCAATCTTGGAAGGATGGCGTAGATTTTCCCGGTGGCTATCGGCATTCTCGAGCATTGATTTGCGTCCGCTGATAGCGATATAATCAATTGTGCTCAAGTGAGATGTCAATTCTGTGAGACCCATGGCACCATTATGAGGTACACATGGGACATTGAATTTCAGTGCCATGAGCATGACGGCCTGCGCGAGTCAGTTAGATAGAATAGCCGAGAAAGGATAAGGTAAAGCTGCACTCACAAGACATTCATTGACGCTGCCAAGTCGCACGGCATCGATTTGACAAACATCGGTCGCCTCCGCCTGCAAGAGTTGCTTGAAAGTGACGCGATTTTGTGCCGCCTCGCCTGTTGCGACGCCAACACCGTACGGTCTGAGAGCCTTGCGAATAGTCGCATGTCCCAAAACATCATCCGGGTTGGTTGGTTCTTCAATGAACACCGGTTTGAATTCCACCAGCTGTTTCATGTATTCGATTGCTTGGGGAACACTCCAGACTTGATTGGCATCGATCATGATTTGGTGTCCTTGATCATATCCCAGAACCTCTCTCACTGCGGCCAAACGTTCCCGATCAGCCTCCACATTGGTTCCAACCTTGAACTTGAACGTAGTATATCCTGCCGCAATGGTTTCTTGGAGTACCTCTCTCATCCGGTCTCCAGAGAAAGCTAACCACCCCGGAGACGTGGTGTAGGCTGGAACCGCTCGATTTTCGAGAGCTTCTTGCAGGCGAGACTCTTTGTCCTTTTGTGTTTTCTTGAGCATCTCAATGCTTTCCTCGGGTGTGATAACATCCGTAATGTAGCGAAAGTCAATACATCTCACGACCTCCTCCGGATCCATGTCACAGACGATCTTCCAGACTGGTTTTCCCAGGATCTTGCCCCAGAGGTCCCAAACAGCATTCAATACTCCCGCGACGGCCAAGTGAGTGACACTCTTCTCAGGGCCGATCCAGCGGTATTGTGAGTCAGATACCATGTACCTCCATGTCTTTCCCATGTCGCGTGTCAGTTCATGCATAGTTTTACCCACGACCCGTCGGGCGAATATGTCAAGCGCCATGCAGATCAGCTCGCTGCCTCGGCCGTTGCTAAATGCCTATGGTGAAACTGTCTCAGCGCTGGAATTTCACCAAGAACGGAATCTCAGACTTACAATGCCCTCTCCAATCAGAGATCCTTTATTTGTTTTCAGCTGGATGTAAGGATGTGAGCCGTTCGTGCCTACATGCATAGCATCCGACCCTACACCGTCTAGGCTCGTAGGGAATCGTAGGTCAATGACTTTGAAAGAAGTGATTGTAACATCCTGTACGTGGACGGGGAAATCAGCACCCATTATGAAATATATCTGGAAAAAGTATCAAAGAGAAGACTGGAAAAAAAATCATTGAACCCACGGGAGGATGGAAAAGAAATAGTGCTTTGATTCCCACTATTTCTACTTCCCACATCCATAACAGCCCCGAAATAGGATAATAGCATATCATTGCACTCCCCAACATCGTCAAGATCTGGCAGCGAAAGCCGATTGCGGGGATTTCCCCCAGTGGAGTTGCCGCCTCCCCCCGTGGATGATCATTGGCCAGTGAGACAATATATACCTACCTGCACATGTGGTTGACATATTCCTATACTCTTGATTGCTTTCAATCGGTTCATTGTCTCAACAGGCAAAATGGTCAATTTTATTCTTGTCACGGGTGCGACCGGCTTCATCGGCGCCCACATCGTCGACGTGTTACTCGCTCGTGGTATGCGAGTGCGTGGCGCGACACGTTCGCTGGAGAAAGGCGATGCTATGATCAAGGCTCGTCCACAGCATTCAGGGAGACTGGAGTTTGTGCATATCGATGACTTTGAAAAGCCTGGGGGCTTGATGGAAGCCGCTCAAGGAGTAGATGGAGTGATCCATACGGCCAGTGTAAGCCATAGCGTCATTGATCTTCCCCGTTTCCAGTCACTAACGACTGGTTCGCACAGCCTTTCACATATAACACCACGAACAATGAACGCGAGCTTATTCTTCCCGCAATAAATGGCGTACGAGCAGTTCTCGAAGCGGCTAGCAGCAATTCACAAATACGGCGCGTCGTCATTACTTCTTCCTTCGCTTCCGTCCTTGATACCAATCGCAAAAGCCCTCCATATTTCACCTACACTGGTGCGGATTGGAACCCTCTCACCTACGAGGAGTCTGTGGACCCAACTACGAATGCTATAATTGCGTATCGCGGGTCGAAGAAATTCGCTGAGCTGGAAGCCTGGAAATATGTGGAGGAACACAGTCCGACGTTCGATATTGTCGCACTATGCCCCCCTATGACATTTGGACCGGTGGTGCACCCCGTTGTTCACGTGGATAAACTGAATGAGTCGAATGCGATGTTGTGGAAGATTGCCAGTGGAGAAAACCCTCTGCCTGTTGCACGAGTGCCATTCTGGATTGATGTGCGTGACCTAGCCATTGCCCATGTTGAGTCACTACTTCGAGAAGAGGTGGGTGGCAAACGATATGTTCCTTCGTCCCCAGAGCGATTTTCCTATGGCTTGGCTGCAAAGATCATAGCGGAGGAGTTCCCTGATCTAAGAACCAAAGTCACCCAAGAAGACCAAGTCGTTGATGAGAGTTGTGGGTTGGATGGTCAAACTGCTGCAATGGAATTGGGATACAAGTATCATTCATTCCATGATACTGTAAGAGATCTCGTATCTCAGTCAGTCTCGCTAAGCGAAAGATCACGCAGCTGTTAGATGTTTACCTGGCGAAATAAATACCTAACCAAATATGATAAATGAGCCTCCTCTCGTATTCTTCATGTGTAATGTCTACCTCAGGGACACGCCAGTCTTCATTCAGATTCTACAGGTGTTTGGAAGTTTAGATTCTCTGGACAAAGTCGGGATTCCTAAAAGGTCTAGTATTCTGGCCTGCGCGCCTAAGGCCTGCAGTCCCGTTCGTGACTTTGCTAGTTCTTCTCTCTCGAATATGCCGACGAAGAAGCAAAAAGCGCAGCGCTTCTTGGTGGCGACCGGGGACGGATCGAGTGAACCTGATTGATTCATAGTTCTTCTCTCTCTCGTTCTCTCTCAGATAACTTTCTTGGCTTCATATTTTCTGTGGCTTTTCAGCATTTCTTTTACACCGACCTATGCCGCTTACCCCCGTGCCGCCTTTCCCCGTATTCCCCATGGGGAATGCCGTTTCCCTTCTCCACCTTTGCGGGGGAATTGAACATCTCCCTTCTTGATTTCACCTTAATTACCTCGGTATACTGGTTTTATGTGGCTGACAAGCGCCCCATGACAGGGTGTCTATTCGCACCTAAAGGCTTGGACACCATGGCGAAGGATCAGACGAGCAAGGGGTATTTAATGGATGAAACTCACAAACCTCAAGATCTGACCCTACATGGTCTTGAATTCAAACATATCACTTGAAATGATGGGTAACTTGGATCTCTCAAGTCGGCTCAGTGGGAGATGGCTGATCACTGTGATCACTGTCGCAAATGCTTGGTGAGTCCTACTTAAATACCACACAAAGAACAACGGCTAATGGAAGCACGATTCAGCTCAATGGCATGGTTTGGGTATGATCAAGGAGTCTTCTCAGGAGTCTTGATCTCAGCCGACTTCAAGAAACACTTCCCACAGACGAAAGAGTCGAATATCTCTGGCATTACATCCAGTTGTTTCTCTGTGAGCTCATCTTCCTACCCATAACTCCCATCGGATGTAATCTGATGATGAGATTTAGCTTGGGGCCTTTTTCGGTGCTATATTTGCTTTTACTCTCGGCGACAGGCTCGGTCGGAAGAAGACAATTGCTCTCGGCTTGGTGTGCAATACCATTGGTGCGGTCCTCCAGATTGTCTCCTGGCATTTCCCACAGCTGATCATCGGCCGTATCATCAATGGCTTTGGTATGGGATTGACCTCTTCCACGTGCCCTGTGTACCAAGCTGAGTGCTCCAAACCACGAGTTCGTGGAAAGCTCGTGGTAGTGGGGTCTCTCTCCAACACGGCAGCCTTCTGCCTGGCCAACTGGATGAATTATGGTTTATTCTTTCAAGGCGAGGCACTGCAATGGAGGTTCCCTTTGGGATTTCAACTCATATTCCCATGCATCGTGGTGGTGGCACTGATATTTGTTCCCGAGTCCCCGAGGTGGCTTTTGCTCAAGGATCGACACGAGGAGGCGCTTGCAGTACTCGCGAGACTGGAGGGTAAGAATAAGGACGTTCACGATCCAGACGTGGCTGCTCAATTCCTATCCATACGGTCGGCACTTGAGGTTGAGCGCCAAAGTCAGGTACCGCTGGCGGATGTCTTGATGTGCCGCGACAAGACACAAAACCTCCGGCGGCTGCTCTTGTCTTGTGGTACTCAGTTCATGCAGCAGTTCAGCGGTGTAAATGCGCTTGGATATTATCTTCCAACTCTTTTGCAGGAAAGTGTCGGACTCGGAGAAGAGGAGAGTCGCTTGCTCACTGCTGTCAATGGCACGACGTATCTATTCGCTGCGTTTTGTTGTTTGGTAATCATTGATCGTTTTGGGCGTCGCAAGTAAGTGAGACCCAAAAAGGCGTCTGAACTCTCTCTCTCTCTCTCTCTCCAAACAAACAGTTACTGATGTTGACCTCAAGGCTAATGCTATATGGCTCGATAACTATGGGCGCATGCTATCTCGTTGCGGCAATGTGTCTTCGAACAGGCGAGGGTGACCCTTTACGAAAGCAATTGGCAAGTAATTCCGTTTATTAGTATGAATTTCGTAGCTAATGGAAGTAGATGGGACGTGTGACCACTGCTATGTTCTTTTTGTATTACTTCTTCTATGGAACAAGTTTTGCCAAAGTCCCCTGGGTCTATAACTCCGAGGTGAACTCACTCGGATGGCGCACCCGAGGCGCTGCCGCGGCCACAGCAACAAACTGGATGGGCGGATTTATCGTGACGCAGTTCACGAGTGTTGGTGTCAATAATCTACATTGGCGGTTTTATCTAAGTGAGTCTATATGGGACCTTTTTTTCAATACTGGAAGCTGACCTTGCATATCTAGTTTTCGCCATCATTGCCTGGTCGTTCTTCCCCATCATCTTCTGTTTCTATCCGGAAACTTCCCGACGCAGCTTGGAGGACATGGACGAAATTTTCATCCAACATCCCTCGCCGATTGTATGTGGCAAGCAAGAGTTGACCCAACGTAAGCGACCACAGACATTTGTCGACGCGGAAAGGGATCGTATCTTGGACACACAATTTGGAGAAAAGGTTAAAGGGGCAACGACAGCACATTACGAGCATGTCTAGTGAGAAGGGGAAGTGAGCTAGTCCAAGCTATTTCAATTCATCTCTAGCATGTATTTGAAAATGAAATCTTTCTTAATTGTCAGGGCGTGTGACCGAGCTCATGATCAAAATAGGCTCTTTTGTGAAGTGTATTGTCCACTGACTCTATTGAACTGATAGGTGTCAAGTCCATTGGATTACCAAGGAGTGGCCAGTAGAATATTGGACTTTCATATCACTTTCCGAACATAGTGGTGTACTTTGACGATGCTAGATCTAGAAATGATATCAGACCTATAAAGCCTATACAGTATTGAGGAAGTGGAAGAAAAGCGCATTTCTTCTCCCTAAGAGGACCAAACTTCCCTCATTTAATCTGCTTAATTAGGGAATAGATAGCCTATCCGGGATATACTGCCTTTCGGAGGTGCTTGAGGCGTCTCATCTCCTAGCTTGTGGTAATCTAGTTGAAGATTAAATATCGTCTACAGATACTCGCACTTCAAGTCAAGCTGTCTCTCCACCATTCAATATATCCAGATCCCCAGATGGAATCTATGAACCAGGCCTGGTTGATCCAGGAATTCCAGTCTCCAACTCGACCAGATCATTCTGGCTCTCCCAACCTGCACCTATTGCTTACACCCAATCTCATTGGATAGACAATACAGATGTCGTGATCATTGGCTCTGGAATGTCTGGCATGAACCTCGCGAGAACACTATACCAAAAGAGTACCGACCCGGAGGTAGTTCTGATCGATGCTCGCGATCTCCGCTCAGGTGCCACCGGTCGGAATGGCGGGCATATCAATACAATGAGCTATAACTATTGGCCCAACAAAAAAGTAAGATATGGCCTCAAAGAGGCAATTCGCCTAACCAACTTCGAGCATAGTCACCTGAAACATATGACCACAGAAATCCAAGAGAGTGAGCTCGACTGTGAGCTGTCCCTGATTGGATTGAAGGAATCGATGGGTACTATGATAAGTCCAACTTTACAGACGCCATTGCAGCGATCAGCGACATGCAAAGATATGCACCAGAGCTCGCTTCTCAATACATCATGTACACAGACAAAGCCAAAATCCTCCAGCTCAACTGTTCTGATCGAAGCATTGGCGCAACCGGCACCCCTGCAGCGTCAATGTGGCCGTACAAAATGGTGACGGGGCTTTTGAGCAAGCTTATCACAGAAAACGGGCTTTGTGTGCAGTCCAATATAAACGTTGTCTCCATCACCGACAGAAAAGACGATGAATTTGCTCTCGTGCGTACCGATTGAGGAGATATCAGGGCGAGACATGTCATCCACGCAACGAATGGCTGGGTCATCTTCTCCCCGAGCTGCGACTGTACATTTCCCCTGTGAGAGGCAATATAATCCACCAAACAGTGCATTCACCTCGCAAAAGCCTGGGGAACTAGTTTTGGTATCGGTACTCAAGCAAGCACTGGGATTATCCGATCCAACGACCCTTGGGGGGGGGATCGTGGTAGGCCGAGCTAACACAAGTCGGCGGGCGCCAGGGGATGATGGCGAGACGGACGTCTGTCCTCGAATTCATCTTCGCGGCGTGATGGCCGAGATATATAGCAATGGTCACTCGACGTCAGAAGTCAGCCATGCCTATGCCTGGAGTGGTATCCTCAGATACCCACAGGATGGTTCGGCCTTTGCTGGTAGACTTCCTTTCAGCAACAGAGAACACCAATGGGTCTGTGGGGGGTATCATAGTATTGGTATGATCAAAGCTTTCAGAATGGCAGAGATGTGGCTCGTATGATTGTTGGAGAAGATGTTTCTAAGAAATGTCCGACCTCATTTCTTGTCACGGAGGAGCGGATGAGGAAGCTGGAGCAGTCTCTCTTGGCAAAGCAAGTCTGTGAACGGATTGTATTTATCTTCTCATATATTACTAGAAGGAAAAGTAAAGCACAATCAGTAGCACCGGACAGAAAATATTCAACATTTACACACCATCTTTGAATTTGACCAATCCCCCAATCACGCCTTGATGTCAATCACGCCTTGATATAAAATTCGATCTGGTCCAAGAGCCACAAGTTGACAGTCATCATTGTAAGTTCCCCTTCCGCCCCTCCAGAGACCTCTTTGCCTATTTGCCAATCGAATGCGAGAGCGTACCATTCATAGAGACCCCTTAGAGATGCACCCACAGACTGTGTATAGCCATAAACAAGGCCATTCTGGGTGGAAAGAATTGGAGCAGACTGGACACTGAGATCGTGATCCCAGGCAATTTTGCAGGAACTGTCATCGGCGGTGACGTCGACGCGGATCACACCTGGAGCCATGGCTGTGAGGTTATTGAATTTCCCATTCAGGCCTGAGTCCACGTAGTACAATGTTGGTACACTGGTCGTTGCAAAGCATCACTCCATAAGTGTCAGCAGTGCGATGTCGATATTGCTTAGTCCCGATTCAACCGAAGCATATCCTTATGCAGTGTCCGGAATATGTTATTCCGCGCACGAAATTGTGGGAGCAACTGTGGGGTATTAGGATTAACGAGATGGATTACGACAAGATCGTGTCGAATCCGCAGGCCACCCGCTACGTGGTCAACTTCATGCACCAAACAGGTCTCCTCCAGCAGTTTCAACACGTTGGAATTGAGGAGTACGACGACGACAAATCGACAGGCGGCAATGGATCTAGGTGTGGAAGACGATGGGTATTAGCCAATGACGATAGATGATACTGTGAAGCGAGAACTCAGCCAGAGTCGACAAACATGCCAATCAACTGACCAGGACAACGTCACCATCAACTGAAACTGAGGCAGGGGAGGGTTTACAGAGAGAGAGAGAGAGAGAGAGTGAAGTGGGTGTTGGAAGGTGGAGGGTGCACTCTACAACAATCATTATATGTTAATTTCTTATGTATGGGCTGATTCCACACTCTTTACGATCAGCATCTGTATATATACTCCCTGGGAGAGATCCCACTCGGCGTTGGGCTTCGAGTTCTTGCTTCAGATGGATGAAGCGCCTGCATAGCCATGCGCAACTAGTTAGACTGCAACAGGCTAATTGAACTTTGATTGATTGATTGATTAGCCCCGATTCAAATAATGGGACACTGCAAATGGTCTGCGAATAATCATGCTGCGCTGTTTGATGATAAACGACTAGACTGACCCGGGAATTGGTATTGTGCGTGATAGCAACATCCTGATCTCCAAGAGGTGCCGGGGTTGCCCCTGAGCTATGCATAAAGGAGCCAGGCTTCTTCACATCACCGGTATCATACGGGGTGCTCCAAAGTGTTTTGATGAATGGTTCAGGGACGGAGGTAAGCGAATACCGGTCGTATTCTTGTGGTCGTTGGTACCAGAGGGTCCGGTGATCACATAGATTGTGATTCCTGTGACAGCGATGCCATTCTCAGCCATTTCATTTGGAATGTGGCAGATATGGAAGGGTCCCGTTGGCTCAGTATATCCAATGGTGGTAGAGTTTTACGCAAGATCTCCATGTCCATCTTCGGGCTGAGAGCGCAAACCACCACTCGTAAACCACAAGTTACCATTAATATCGTACATTGCATTGATGAGAATCTCACCAGGAGCCAGAACATAATCCTAGTTACAGTGACTTCGAAAGTCAACAGGAATAGTATCACATGTAAACAGTACAAATGATCTTTGTATACATTCTTCACTGCTAGTCACTATATCGTGCTATGGACTAGGTGAAGGTGACCCGAGTTTCTCGTGTTAATATAAAATTAAATTAAATTGAGTGATAAAGCTGGAGATAAGAGGTAAAAGCACGGCGACATTCATTCTTTAATTTATTTTATTCAATGTTATACTTGAAAGACTTATAGGTGGTATTGACGAGGATTGTCAACCGAGAGACCCATTCTTTCCCACATGCCTTCCACATTCATATCCTCTCGTCCACTGGTAAAGATGTTAGCTTCTGCTAGGACGACGCAAGAAGGAAAGGGACTCACTCATTCTTCGCGTTGATCCAAGGCTCCGTCTGACCCTCTGCGATATTGGGATTGCGGAAGATCACATTGTGTTTCTAAAAACAAGAGTTAGCCCAGTAATGAGTCTGCATCAAGGCTGGATGAACTTACCATGCCGAGTGTCAGATGAATGGCCCCAGGTCCCTTAACAAACGTATCCTCGGCAGTGTGGCCTTCAATCAAAGCCTGGATGTTCTTCGCAACAACCGCCGCCTGCGCCGAACCTGGCCGAGCGGCCTTTTGGGCACCGGTATCTGCAATATCACCCACGGCAAACATGTTCGAATATTGCTCATCCAAGAACTGCATAGTGGGTCTAACGCGTATGAATCCATTATCCGGATTGATAATTGACTCGCCGTCCGGGTGAGAAGACTTCAACTCAGCCACTGGTTGATTATTTGGGGTTTGCCCAGTGGCCAAGATGACGAATTGCGTGGATTCGGTGGTACCGTTTGTAAGCTGAACATCAAAGGTGCTGCCATCGTTGGGAAATCCACTCGCGGGGACAGTGACTCGAGAACCAGTGATGAGTCGGACCCCCAGCTCGTCAAATCGTTGCTTAATAAGGTCATGGAGTCCAGAGTGGAAACTCGGCATCAGCCACGGCCTGGATTGCACCACGGTGATCTCCTTCTCGGGGTAATATTCTTTCAGGTCGGTGGCCATTTGAACACCGACAGCACCGCCGCCGACAATCAAAATTGACTGGGATCTTTTCACGCCAGCTTGATGTTTTTGCAGATAGTCGACCGATGATGCCTTGTCATCGTCGTCCATAGCTGCAGGCTTGGAGAGACGAGTGCCGGTCGCAAGAACGACGTAGTCGAAGGGAACCACTTTTGAGCCCTGCCATTCACGGTCCAACTCAATATGCCTGGGTTTGACCGACAAAACGCGAGCTTGGATTATGCCATGGGAGGAAGGACTGGGTGAGGCATTGAAAATCCCGCTGTAGGGAATAAACGCTTTGTGTTCCTGCCCAGGGACAATTGCAAACCGAGGCTATGGGCTATATGTTAGCCCTGGAGCTTTACTGGAATGGAAGTCCACTGGTGTTAAAGTCAACTTACAAAGGTGAAAAGATGGTGGAAGTGGCTATGAGGCTCAGTCAAGAGGACCTGCACAAAACATTAGCTTCCATATTCAAGATAGACCTCAGTGGTAGCCTACCCGGTGTGTTGAGGGCACAATGCGTGCGAGCTCCTGAGCTGTTGTCTGTATTGATATTAGTTGGTTACCCTCTCTATTGGCAGCAGACTGAACTCACACGACCAACGAACGATCCGCCAACAACAATAATATTCCGTAGTGAGGTTGCCATTCTGAATGAATTGAAGGAATTGAATGAAGGATGGAAAAGTTCAAGGTTACCCCAAGGACCTTTATATAAAGAGCCCTTTTAATCTGATCTGATTATCAGATTAACGCCGAGGTCAGATTCCCCATTGGGTTAACTCCGAGCCAAGCGGAGTAAGTTATATCCGTCCAAAACCGAACGCCACCTCCAAGTCCCGGCATCCGGGCTGAGACACGCCAATTACACCAGAGCAAGTTGAGGCCCTCGAATGACTGCCGAGATTTGGAGGCAGATGTTGACCAAAAGAGAAACATCTATGGATGCAGAATATGATTGTGGAGTGAACTACGAGGAGCCAAGAGATGGCATTGGTATAATTGGTATACATTTAACTACGGGACCAGGTGTAAAGAATATGAAAAACGTCTAGTGAATCATCCGAAAGACCACCCATTTGCGAAAGAATATGACGAGTACCCTAGAACCAGTCTCAAGGCTCTCGATAGTACCCCCAAGATCAAATGTCTACACAGGGTGCCAGGTGATGGACTTCGCAAGGGGCCCACCCCGGTCGTAAGTGGCTAGGATGGTGTTGTGATCTAATGCCATGATTCCAGGCCAGAAACTGGAGGCTGGGGAGACGAGGGTTGGAGGGCTCCATTGAACACGCCCTTCAACGGGCGGGCCAGCAAATACAACCTTGATAGAGGCATTCTTTACCCAACTCACGTGCTCCGAGTCATCGTCTGTCATGAATACCGCGGCCATGGATCCATCCGCAAAAGAGGCAATCTGGGGAGAGCCCGCATTGTGACCCTTTCGTGGGCAGAAAACTTGATGGCGCCAACCCCAGGTGGCACCGTCATCATAGGATAGAAGCGCTTCGACACAAAACGGTCCGTACCGGGTGGTCTCGAATACCATGAGAAGAGCCTCGCGACCGTTATCAACAGTCCGTGCAATGCCGCACATGCCATCGCGGAGGGGATCTTGGTCACCATGCAGACAGGTTGGTGGGGTCCAGGTACTTCCTTGATCCCGCGAGACGACTAGCATGGTACATTGGTTGTTATGGGCGAATTCCTGCGAGAAATAAAGCTGCACTTCACCCTGGCGCCCGACACGCATGAAGGGTTCCCAAATACCCAAAGGAGGGCGCTTCTCAGCTGCCTGCGAAGCGAACTGCCAGGCCCGACCTCCATCCGTAGATCGGCAGACAGTAATGCGGAAGTGCGTAGGGCCATTTGGACCCTTGTCGTGGTTCCGGAAAGCCGCCAATATTGTCCCCGGAGCCACTTCACACAAAAACATGTTATCCACGTCGCCAGCAGCGCGGGTTACCTCGGAGAAGTCCTCGAATGTGCGGCCGTTATCGGTACTTTTTGCGACGCGGAGTGAGCGCTGTCCGTCGGGGAATCGGGTGAAAGACGAGAGAATGGTGCCATCTGAGAGCCTGCAGAGACGAGGATATGTGCCATTGTTGGGAGGTGAAGATAATGCGCGTTCATCGTTGTTCACGGCTGGTCTTCCTGGAAGCCGAACGCTCGAGGAGTTCTGTTGATGGGCATGATCTTTCAAACCTAAGGTCTTGAGAACCTTCTGGCCCAAGTGTCCAGGCATTCTGTTGAAAATTTGAGAGTATACGACAGAAACTTATCCTGCAACTTGACCTGCAAGGCTGCAACGTTCTGTCAAATGCTCGGGGAGACATCACCTGGACATGTGACGTCATTGACAATGCTTACCTAACTGTTGTCACCTCAGGTGTCGAGGGGTACTGGCATGTAAGTAACCTCACCTGGGAGAGAGAGCGGGATGGAATCATGGATGGTAGAAACTGCTATAAGAAAGCTTTTGACCTTTAGATGTATGAATAAATTACTGGAGAAAACTTTTGTTATGGTAGTCTTTGCTTTCCTATATTTTATTATCGCCCTGCTACGTTGTATATCCCCGACTGATCATCTACTTGATACATTCTCTAGGATTTGGGCTTGGTGAACAGGTTCCCAATCAGTCCTCATTGCAACCAAACTAGTTCCATTCATGAGCTCGGTCAGGTCAAAACATCCCAGCTTTCTGGGGCTGGTTTCTCACTGGAGTTGTTCCCACTACAAGATACACCGCAGAGATCAAGATCGTTCGATCTCCAGTGTACAACCAATCCTACAATATATGGGGAATGGTACTCGGGCTATCACGGACGTTACACGATTCCCGAGTCCAAGGGGTACCTTAGCATATGCGAACATCAACATTCCTTGATTCAGGTATCGGAAGAGAGGACATGATGATTTATTTTGCTTGAATCGCTCCAGGCCCTCGATCTTGTTTAGCATTGCATGAAACGGCTGAATTGGCCTGGAATGGCCTCAGAGGCTGGCATAGATGTTTGAACATCCAATTTGCTTATAACGCTTGAGATAGCAACTCACCTTGGATATTTAAAACGGCTTGCTGCGTTCAATAAAATGGGTTACCTTCGCCCTTGTTCACCGAACCCGAACGACCCGAATGATGTGAATTGGGGATGCGGTAGCTGCGTCCAGAAAATAACTAACTGGGCTACAATGTTGTGGGTCTTAGGCATTAAGGCATCCGGAGAGGTGGCCCCCTACAGGGCCCTACTCCACGTGTAAACACCAGGAGTCCTCTTTACTCAAGGATCCTACTTCTATAGGAGTCTCATTTAATCAACTCCATTTTCTCTCTAAAATTCCCGTACACGCATTCACCTGACACTGCTCGAAATTTATCATGGGAACAACCAAGTGAGTCCTTCCCTATAGAGAATAACTCCAAGCTAACCCACCACAGCGCCTTAAAAGCTCTCCCCCAAGATTGCTGGGTGCATATTCTGGATCAAATCTCACAATTCGATACTGCATCCGTAGTGGCTACATCCCGAGGCTTGCAAGTCTCCTCGGAGAGCTCGTTGTATCGTAAAATCGATATAGACTGGACCAGGCCTCCCCTTAAGCGGGTTCTAGCGCTATTCCGTGTCATTCACAAACGGCCAGATCTGGCTGCGCACATTCACCATGTGAGCATGATATCCTCAAAACTGGTGTATCCAGCAACAGACCAGGAAGACGAGTGGGAGTTGCCTCAAATTGATGGGGACTGGAGCCAGCTCTCATTTCTATTCCAGGATGAGGTGAACGCTGCAAAAGATATCATTACCAAGGCACAGTTTTCCTCGCCAAAGATGTGGATCCATGCCCTGGAAGAGGGCGACCCATACGCATTTGTGGCTGTCCTTCTGTCTCAGCTTCATAATCTACGGTCGCTGCAACTGGATTACACTTTTGTGTGGCAAACTGGGTTCCCAGGGTTGATGATGAGACATGCTCTTCTTTCTGCGCCTGAGAATTCATTATCTCGATTTTCGAACCTCTCCGTTGTCGAATATGGTCTGAATGTTCCAGGCCCTAGACGGTTCAACGAAACGAGATGGAATTTCATCGATGCATTCCCCGTTTGTAACCCAGATCAATATGCAGGCTGGTTCTATCTGCCTTCTTTAAAATCTTTGGAAATCTGGCTCCAAAGTTTCGAAGGTGTCCGCAACGAGTTATCCAATCCTACTGGATCAAGTAAGCTGGCGCATCTGGCCCAGCTTCAGAGGCTTGTGTTAACGGAATCCACTATTGAAGAAGATGAGGTCAGAAACCTTCTATCGCACCTGCCTTCGCTGAAGAGTGTTCACCTAGGCCTAGTCTACCCATCACAGGATAGAGAGCTCGATTATCACTGTTGTTCTCCTCAGCCTCCTCTAAAAAAGCAAGGTGTGCTTCTTGAAGGGCTGATGAGTGTAAAAGACACAGTTGAACATCTTTCCATTAGCATGGAGCTCTGTCCGCTTTATTGGCTTAGTGTTTGGGGTGCAATAGAACGGTGCAATGGAACCCCGGAAGAAGGATTTAAACCTTTCAAAGGAATCTTAAAGCATTTCCCGCTTCTTCGAACTGCTGAGCTACCTGCAGTCATGCTTTTCGGATGGATTTGTGACACACCAGCCATGTCTGAGCTTCTACCGCCAACACTTCAGAAGCTCGCCATTCGAGACAACTTGTATCTTGTGGAGGATTTCGAATGGAAGACAGACAAAGTTGCAGAAGTAATTCAAAACTTCCTCCCCGCTGCAAAGTCGGCGACTCCTCTGTTGAGCACAATTATCATTCGAGTCTTTGATATAGGGACGGATACTGTTGACCCGGACGATTCAACGGGGGCGAGATCGTCGTGCGAGATGCTAGGGCTGGATATAGATATTAGTATGAGTCAGGATAATCTCTCGCCGGGACTTTGGACGACGCACAGGGAAATTCAAGAAGGATCTCGGAGAGACTGTCGGAATCGTGGATGATCTATATCATACCGAGTTGCTAATATTGCATGCTCAGATGCTTGTGAATGAAGATAGGAATACACAGCTTTCGGTGGCCTCATTTGGGGTTATATTACGATTCAGAGTTTCTACAGCTCTACAGCTATCACCCTACACCCCACAAAGGATATGATTCCACCAATCCTTTCCTTTCCTTTCCCTCACCCCTTCTGTATTTAGCATATTGTTTTGAATGCACTCTTTTCTTTCAAATAACTGGCAAGTAATATGACGGAGATATACGGACATTTCATATTATAGCAGCTCAACTGAGGCCTATCAGGACCCCATGCTCGTTCATCAATGTCATGCTGATCCATTCTCTCCACGGCTCTGTATTATAATTGGAGACTGTTGAAAAGGTCTGGAAAATACGAGCAACCATGTATGTGAGCACAGCAATTGCATAATGTTCTGTAGTGGTGTTAGCCAACTACAGCAAAATCATCGGTGACTTGAGAGAAAGGCTTACGACCAGGGCAAGACCTAGGTCCTTTGTTAAACGGGATAAAGCCAGGCATATCTGCATTGAGTTGCTCCCACCTTTCAGGATGAAAGTGCTCTGGATTCTCCCCAAAGTCCCTCCCGAGGCGATGTCTAGCCCAGGTGGAAAAGACCACGATCTCTCCCTTTCGAGCCAAGATAGGCGAAATGCCATGCGCCCCGCCACCTGTTGGCAATGTGACATTCTTGTTCGCTACTCTTGCATTGAGTACAACTGCAGGATAGAGTCTCATGACTTTGGGGACTATGGTGTTAGTGCATTTTTCAAAGCCGACACGTCACCGACAGAGATCCTTACCTTCCTGGAGTACACAACGAATATAGTCCAGAGATCCAAGTTGCCCCCAAGTCGGGGGATTCAATCCAATGGTGTCAATGATGCTTGCTCTCAGCTTGTCGACAACTCGGTCATCCTGAGATAGGCAGTAGAAAAGCGCTGAGAGAGCCGTGCCCATACTATCATTTGCAAGGAGAATGCTCAGGGCCTGGTCAGTCTCCCTGTTCAAATCTTCGTCTTTCTCATTCTGAGTGGCATGGGACATCACATATTCCCGTGCCCTCCTGCAGGAATGGACAAAGCGTTGTTTAGAATATAAATAACGAAGCGGGCCACGGAAGCCATCCTCCACAATCTTTTCCTTAATATAGAGCAGGTCCGCTACAAATTGCTTCTTTTCCAAGGGTTGGGAAAGGCCGAGGGTATCCACCGACACGCCGAGAGAGAACAAGGTCTGCATATCCAAAACAAGATTAAAAACGCATGTTTGAACATTGAAGGCCTTGCCATTGGATGGGACATGTCGAAGGAAGGCCTGGAAGTGCTGTTCACAGAGGCTTAGGTCAATTATCTTGCGAAGGTCGGATAGCCGACTGCGTAGCTTATTGCGGCTTTTCTTCCAGCCGGCACCGTCAAGAGTGAATATGCCATGAGGGGTGATAGGTTCAAATAGGGGTTTTCGCAATGGCGAACTATCGAAATCGGCGAACGCCGTGGATAGCAGACATTTGGTATTTTCTGCATTGCAAGTCAAGATGAGTCGGTAACCGAGAACATTGGACGTATATGTCTCCCCGTACTTCTCGAACAAAGCATTGGTATATGCGAGGGAGCTGCGACGTCGGAAATAGAAAGCCAGTTCAATCGCTTTGGCGATCCCAAGGATGTCATATCGAAACCGGTCTTTCTCGTTGGGCGGCTGCTCGCAGCCATGAAGTCGTTCAAGCTCTCGCAAGGTCAGAATCTGGTGTAGTCTTCGCACCAGGATGGTTACTAAAAGGGCTATAATGATAATCGCGAGCCTAGGCATTTCTTAAGAATGACGGTATTACCGTGCGTGCCGTCGTGTTATCAATTAATCATGATCAAGTAGACGGCTTTTTCTTTTCATCTACGCAAGTAGGGGATCTATCGAATCTAAGCAAGGGATTGATAACTCCACTGCCACAAATGTATTTGGTAAGCGAGCTGCGCAGCTTGCTTCCCCAATACGGTTGGTTATATGCACAGAGTAGTTTTGTTTCAATTTGAGGAGGTGCTATCAATCTAGATCGGACTGACGAATTTATTCCAATGGTGCGTCTATATCATGGGATACTATACGCTGATAGTTTTAAGGTCTTTCTCACAGGTTATACCATCATCAAATCCTTTGAATCCCAAACCATATTGCCCAAATGGATTCTTCTCCAGAAAATAGTCAACTCATTTCCCAGATAGAGCAAGCTTTGAAGCTTTCAACGGGCTATGCTTGGGTTCAGTACGCACTGATGGTCATTGGTGTAGGGAGCTTAAATCCAACGTCACCATCACTGCCGAATATATCTTCCTCCGATATGTGTTTGAATTGGATTTGAAAGCAGACAGGGAAGCGTATATCTGCCATATACTGTCTCAGCAAAACCGCGATGGCTCCTAGAGCCTAGCGCCTAAGCACCCAGGCGGCGTATCAACCACGACCGAAGCTTATTAGTTCCACGGATAAAGATAGCCCAGGGAGACATCATCGGGCTAGTATTCAGTGTCTTGGATAAACTGTTTTACCAGCTGAGCGGAATTCGCTATATCCCTCTACTACAGCATACGTTCATATGCTCAACGGCAGTGTACCCAATGGTTTCTAGAGCGTCAGGAGACAACCGGCGACTGGGCGGGAATCTTCCCGCCTATGCATGGTAGTGTGTATGCATTCATGTAGGAGGGATACAGGATTGAGGATGCCCCGTCCGCCTAGGCATCCAAGCATTGGAGAACTTCGCCTGGGAGGACGAGAAGGACAAAATGATCCAAGCCTACGTATCTCCGGTGTGGGACACAGCTCTGACGTCTATTGAGCTCTGCGACGCGAAGTCATCAGATAGGCAGGTCTGCAGCCAGGCCCTTGCTTGGGTCCAAGACTGCCAATTGCTTGCCCCTTGCGGGGATTAGCGTGTGTACCGGCCCCATCTGGATCTCTGGGGCTTCAGCATCGAATATAACAATATTTTCTACCCCGATGTGGACTATACAGCTGCGGTAATTCTTGCACAGATCGAACACGATGTCGGGTCAATTGAATCGGAATCCCTCCTTGCAGCAGTGACATGGCTCAAGGACGGATCCTGGAAGCATTCAGATTGATAGTCCAGTGTGCAACTAAGAAAAGTCGCGCCACGAGTTTATTTCCTGCACTACATGCATCATGCACCCGCGGCATATGCTACATCCCCTCTACCCAAGAGTCTAGCGGAGCCTGGTTTGGACGCTGGGGCTGCAATTACATCTATGGGACAAATCATGCGCTGTGTGGTCAAGAGTACTTTGTCAACAAGGACAAGCGAGTTCGCGGATTGGTGCAACCGGCTCTACGGTGGCTGAAGCTTAAGCAAAATGTGGATGGCGGCTGGGGCGAGACGTTGCTATCATACCGATCTCCTGAGAAGGGACAAGGCAAACCCACCGCATCACAGTCTGCATGGGCATTGAGGGTATTACTAGCCCATCTTCACCCTACAGACATCGCTGTTGAGCATGGTATCTGCTGGCTGGTATCTTCCCAGAGGCTGGAGAAAGGCATAGGGTCTTCATGGCCCGAAGCGGTGTATACAGGAACTGGATTTCCAAATCAATTCTATTTGGGTTACGATTACCATCGCCATTACTTTCCCATGATGGCCCTCGGGCGCCACCTGCAGGCTGTGATATGAGACATCCTACATAGTTACATCGCATGTTTAAACAACCCTCGCAGATTATCATGGAACGCAAGGCTTCATAGAGTTCACCGCTCTGAATGATATTTCAATTCCTCGTCACATTTAAAGTCCGAAATAAACCTAAGAAGTCATATCAGAATCGTATAATCCTCTCCATCTCAAATCTTTCCGCCTCACTGTTGAAGCTCTAAATTCGTCGTTTGCATGCCATAAGGAATGGATATTCTCTCGATGTTCGGGCGCACGCAGCCACAGACAGTGCCCACAGACCGGATTATTCCCTTGCGAGAGTGGGATGACTTGCACTACCTACGCAGTCTTTGTCATGACTTCACATTCCGATTCGACGATGTGTTGGATGCGGCAAGGCTAGAGACAGCCTTAGGGCGGCTGATGGAGATCGGGGACTGGGGTCAATTGGGGGCTCGGCTACGACTCCATGTATGTATGATCCTTCTCCAACACAGCAAGAACAGCAAAGTACATGGTTAATGAACCATTTTACAAAAGAATGGCAAGCTCGAATATCATATCCCGGCGGAGTATGATCAGAAAACCCGGCCGGCCTTCATCTTCACCACCACCGAGTATGGAATGACTATCAACGAACACCCGTTGGGTTCCCAGCTTCCAAAAACAGGGCAAGATCAATCTTTCCTATCACCCACTTCTGCCATATTTAGGCCGTTGGTCTGTCATCAAGATAGTCCCAGGGAGCTGGCCGATTGGATATATACCGACCGTCCGCAGCTCCATGTCCATGTTACCCTTTTCCAGGATACAACCCTCTTGACCGTCAGCTATATCCACACTTTATTTGACGCTGTGGCGCGGACAAACTTCTTCAAGGCTTGGATAGCTGTCCTAAATGGTCGGGAATCAGAGGTGCCACCCTTTCTTCCTTTTGACCAAGATCCTCTATGCACCCTAGGCAAGGGTGTCCCCCGGCAGAATTATACCAACTTCAGCCGGCTCCTTGGCGGTCTCGGTCTTGTGCTCTTTGGGCTTCGGTATCTCTGGGAACTTTTCTGGTTCCGTGCAGAGGAGCACTCCATTCGCTTGCCGGGACACTGCGTGAACCAAATGAGGGAAACCGCACGCCACCAACTGGCCGCTGCGACTCCGGACGGTGTTGAACCACCCTTTTTGAGTGAACCAGATATTGTGGCTGCTTGGTGGGTCAAGACAATGGTCACAGCACTAAATCCCTCACCGGGCCGAACCGTTATGGTGATGAGTCCCTTCAATGTGTGGGGTGTGTTTGGCGAGCAATTCCCTAGCGGCGGCAAGGGCTTCATCGGCAATGCCTTTTTCAACTCCTACAACGTACTTGATGCAAGTGAGGTTTTGGAGGATGACAACCTAGCATATCTAGCGTCGAAGAATCGTCAGGCGCTCGTGGAGCACCGAACCCAGGAGCAGGTTCAGGCCATGACCTCCATCCAGCGAAATTCGTTCATGAGCATACCGCCACTAGTCGGAAAATCTAACCTGCTCTTTATGACACATACGAACCAGCACAAAGCTAGATATTTTGAGACAGATTTCTCTGCTGCGGTTGTTGCCACGGGTGTGCCTCTGAGTGAAAGACCCCATGCCCTGGGCCGGCCATCTTACATTAATGACATTGAACATTGTCGTTTGTACCCGACTCGAAATGTCTGCCGGGTCATTGGAAAAGATGCCGCGGGTGATTGGTGGCTTTTGTTCAAAGCTCGAGCTGGGGCATGGCCTGCGATCCACAAACAATTAAGGGCTCTGCATGAGATTGATGAGCCGCTGGCAGATCTCGCAGATCGTCAGCCTGCAACTTCTTACCAAGAGAGCTGGGTTTCGAAGTCAGACTCTAGGTTGATGGGGGCTTTGATGGACTTCTATATTCTTTTAAAACTCCTCGTTTAAGTGGTTCTACTGCCATAGCCTAGGTAGCTTCGTCCTTTTAACTGCGACATTTCGGGCACGTATCTATTTCAAGAATATTATATGCGTTATCAAACCATTTGCCTGCTTGTAGATCCCTGAATCTAGAACTTGCGGTTTATCATTATCAATCTGAAAATAATTATGATACACCGGACCTCAGTATTCAGATATCACATATACATTTCCCCTGCAGTGAATAGTGATATTATATTTGCACACGAACAGAGGCTGGCTAGGTTTCTTCGAGGGGGTTTTAGAAGCAACAGCAATTAATTGATATGGAAATGCATAGCCAACAGTGTTATTGGCATTCCATTTGACATGTATGGGGACCTGTAAATTACTGTATGTGGTTAGTTTTTCTGTTTCTGGTTTAGCGTCTTAATACGTCGTCACTAATGCTGCCGACTTAAAAAGACTTAGTTAATCTTAGTTACCCTCTTTCTTTCATTCTCGCCTCCACCGACTACTACGTATTGGCATTCAGCCCGACGCACTGCTTCATTTTACATCCGCTGAAGCAGATATGCAATGTGATTAGCGTAGAAATTAATTTCAGCGTAGTAACTAACTTACGGTAATTTAGGTTTATTGCCAATAATTCCAGTAAAACAGAAGCGACTAATTCCAGAAACACGAAACCACCTATCACAGCTTAACTGTTACGAGCCAGCTCTTTAAAAAGAGCGCATTCAACGAAAATACTAAGTACAGAGGGGAGAAAGAAAGGAAAGGTAAGCATTGGTGGAATGACAGGATTTGTGGGTCCCTGCCTCGAATCGACTCAAACAGCTCTAGCTTATAGCAATGACTGACTTTCTTGACGATTTTATAGGGTCCGCTTAAGAGGTGAGAAAGCTTCCTACTCAGTCGATCTTAAAGCTAGTCCTTTATCGTGATAAAAAACCGAGTCACCGACTCCGAGGTCTTCTTCTCTCCGATGTTTATTTACCTATCGGATCTATAACTACTGTGACTTCGCAATTTATTCCTTAGTTTCGATCCAGATATCTTATAACTAAGAAAGCATTCGCACCACTTCTTCCTCGTTTAGTGTAATCCTTTCTGAATCTCTCTAATTAAATCATGTGAGACCTTGCTGGATCTCGGGGCTCTGTAGATGCATGAAGAGAAGATGAAATATCTACAACTCACTCGGTTCATTACTGCATGCTCAAACGATGGCCTCCCGGCGAGGCGTGTCATTAGTGGCTGGCTGAGAGTAGAATATCCCTACCAGCTCCTTCTTACTTACAAATCAACCGGGTAGCCATTACACAACACCTACACCGAGCTGCTGATCAATTGCGGTGTGAACGGTATACATAAAGCTAAGTAATGCTTAAGTAATAATCAACCTAGGTTAAAGTATTCGGCAAGCGAGCTGGACACTCAAAACCCCATACTAAATGGGACAAATTACAACTTGATATCTCAACAACGGCGGTCTATAGGGACTTCTCCTTGTGGCTTCCTACATTCTTGGTGATATCTAGTCTCTTTAGGGAGTTTGAAGAAATTTTATAACTTTATGATTGCGATATATTTCCAGTTTTTTGCAACGTAATTTTCGGTAATTTTCGAAATGATGATAATATAGCCTTCTACTCCCTTTGAAATTTGATATACGGTGCTAATGAGTCTTATCGATGGCTATCGACAAATAAGGAGCTAGAATAAAAACATGGCTGTTGAGATATAAATGTAGAATATAACTCATTTACTATGGTGTTTTGGAGTGTCCAGCTCGCTTACCGAATACGTTACTTAATTTTATATACGCCATTTACCGCTAGTTAGTAGGTGTCTATCTGCGGCTACTCATAAAACGGAAATAGTTTCCATCGGTATTTTCCAGATAAAGATCTATTCGATATATCACAGTTAGTTCGGCCTATTAAAGTAAGATTTAAGACAGGATATTTTTATTACAGCCAGCCACATAATTAACGAGGCGAGGGAGAGTGAAGATCGAGCTAAGCTGAGTACTACTTATACTTGATGCCCTACCTCTAGATTTATTTTAGAAATCTGGATCAGGTTCCTTCCATAAACCCCTCCGAGCTATCTTCCTAAATACGAAACACAGCATATATCAACATGCAAGGCTTCCACTTAAAAAAGAACGACCACGTCGCCATCGATGGTCGCCCCTGTAAGGTCGTCGACGTATCCTTCCGTGAAGATGATCATGGAAATGCCTTTATCGATCTAGTTGGTGTTGATATTTTCACCGGAAAGGTGTTAAAACATCAGTCGTTATCCTCCGACAACTTTGTTATACCTGACGTCGTCCGACAGGTTTTCGCGCTGGTGAGATTTCCTTTAAGTATAGCGAGAGTTTTTGCTCACAATAACTATTAGGTCAATATTGACGATGGCTACTTGAATCTAATGTCATCAGATGGGGTCTCTAAGGACGACCTACAGCTCCCGGAGGGCGATCTTGGAAGGCAGCTCATGAGTGATTTCGAAGAGGGTAAAGATCTTGGTATGCTATGTACCCATTTGTGGCCTTAATCAACCGCTAAATTTGGTTATTCAAGAAATTATCGTGTTGAGCACTATGGGTATGCAGGGAGTAAACGGGTTTAAGGAGGCAAAACACCGTCAGTAATGTCGGTGTAGATATCACGTTGAGGCAACCCCAATAAAACCACTCTATAAGTCACATTTCTCCCCTCTTAACCAATCAAATGCCACTCTGTAGAATTAGGGTAACAAAGATGAGAGAGATGTGCAAAGACACCAGAAGGGAGGGAAGACGAAGCATCTTATAGGCGCTCAACTAGACTAGGCGAAAAGGGAGGGGACTTAAATTTGACTGAAGGGGAGCCATTTTCCGCGTCGTTTTGGTCAGTGGAAACGAGGGGAACAGTGTCCAGCGTCAACATCAGGACCGGAGGATGACTAAAAGTGCTGGGTGCAGAATAGTGTTACGGGGCAGTGGGCAGTCAAGGGGCGGCTGGACAGCCAAAGTTACAGGTGGAAAGGAAGCCGTTTTTGGCGTCAAAACTGGTCATTTTCGGCGTCATTTTCACAGGCCCTCATATTCTAGATGTCAATGGGAGGTGAATGGGAGGCATTCCATATTCTGAGTCGACACACGTGATTCCAGCATGTGCATTCCTGGAAGTTATTGACTTCCAAAAACAATGATGTTCCTTGAACCGACCCAAAAATGTCTACCGAGAATATCCTACTCGGTGATATCCAGCCGATTGCTGGAGACAGTACTTCTTGCGCGGTAGAGGTCATCGAATCCCAGGTCCGCACTGAGCCCAGCACCGCCGGCTTTTTTTCCAGCTACCAATATGCAAGGGCGCCGCAGCTCTCCGCGCTGTTTGTATCAATATTCTGCGCGTCTGCCGCTGGGGCAGCCATGCCCCTAGTAACGATCGTTTTCGGGGCTTTGGCTGAGGAGTTTATCAATGAAGACGAGAAAGCAGTGCATGACGTTCGAGATCGGGTTCGGCATCTCACGCTCCTACTCGTGTATATCGGTGAGTTAATTTCGCAAAGAAATCTCAGCATCCGGTGTGCTCACACATTTCAGCGATCGGGTCTTTTATCACCACCATGATTGGTACATGGGGCCTCAATGTTGTCGGGGAACAGATTCGATGCGACCTCCAACAAAGATATCTGTCTTCGGTGCTCCAGCAGAATATGGCCTATTTTGATGTAGTTAAAACAGCGGAACTCATGTCCCAACTCGATCAAGATATGAAGTTGATTCAAGCTGGAATTTCACAGAAATTGGGTAGTATTATCTCTGGAGTGTCCGGGTGCGTGGTTGCCATCACATGCGCATTCATGCAGAACCCGCGCTTCGCATCTATTATGATATCGCAGCCGATCGCATTGATCCTACTCGTCGGGATAATGGGGTCTTGGATGAGCATGACACAAAAAATGGCCTCGGCTCGGTGGGCAAAGGCTGATAATTTAGCCCAAGAAGTGCTCGGTGCCATGAGGACTGTCATTGCGTTCCGAAGCCAAGAAAGATTTGCTAGGAAGTATCATGATTACTTACTACGTCCTATTGCTTTGGACTTTCGGGAAAGGTTCGTCTTCGGTGTAATTGTTGCGGGATCCTTCGCAATTTTGCATTTGGGCAGTGGGTTGGGCGTATGTATACCTTCTCCATCCCAACTTCCTGCTAACAATGACCTCACAGTTATGGCAGGCTGACCAACTTTTCCGGCAAGGGCTCTGTACGATCCCAGAGGCTTTGTCAATAATGTACGCAGTAACTGCTGCAGGTGGAATGATATGTCAAGCACTACCGTTCGTTGTCGATATTTCGCAGGCCAACGGAGCAGTCAGCCGGATCTTTTCAGTTATGGAGCGCATCTCACCAATCAATCCGTTAGCAGATACGGGGAAGACGTATGGCCAAGTCCGAGGTGAGATTCGCCTTGAAAATTTGACCTTTGCTTATCCTTCGCGGCCTGAACGGACTGTCTTGAAGGGTATCAGACTCCATGTCCCGGCTGGACATACTGTAGCCTTGGTTGGGCCATCGGGCTCTGGGAAATCGACAATATTTGCCCTTTTCGAACGGTTGTACCTTCCTCTCGATGGTGTTATTACGCTTGACGACAAGCCAATTGACGAGATGAATGTCTCGTGGCTAAGGTCTCAGATTGGGTATGTCGGCCAAGACGTGTTCTTGTTCCGTGCATCAATACATGACAACATTGCATTTGGGCTTCCTAAATCTACCACCGAGGTATGTCTCTCGCTCGTTATCATTCTTCCATAAGCTTCGGATCACTTAATGAAGAATAGAAACTAGACATACCTGGTATCCGAAAATTGGTAATTCAGGCTGCCCAGACAGCCCAAATTCATTCCTTCATCGCCAGTCTTCCTGAAGACTACGATACCATGATAGGGGCCAACGGGTCAAATCTCTCCGGTGGACAGAGACAACGGCTCGCAATTGCCCGAGCAATTATATCTCAGCCATCAATCTTGCTACTAGATGAGGCAACTGCTGCACTGGATAGTCAAAGTGAAAAGGAAGTCCAGGAGGCTCTCAACAGGGCTGCTTTAGGGCGAACTACCTTGATAATAGCCCACCGGCTATCGACGATCCGAGATGCCGATACAATTATTGTCATGAAGAACGGCGAGATTATAGATCAAGGCTCCCACGCGGAGTTAATGACTGGATCTGCAATGTACCAGGGGCTAATAAGACAGCAAGCCATCCGCCCAAATGACCAATATCAGGAACCGTCTTCCACGCGAAGAATAACTAAATATAACTCGAGGGGCGATCCATTCAATGCTGGTGCGAGAAAGATACTAGATGATTCTCCCGTCCCAGAATATGCGCCCGGAAATAGTATAAAGCAGATTTGGCGCTTGAATAAGCCCGAGATGTCTTACATTATCGCAGGAGCGCTTTGCAGCGTCTTGGCTGGAATGACATATCCCGTCCAAGCGATCTTCTTCGGCAACGGGATTATGTCAATTATCAATCCTGATCTGAGTACCGGTGGGAACAATGTTCAGTTCTGGGCCAAGATGTACCTCGTTCATGGTATTATTGTGGTTGTTATCTACTGTATACGAGGCTACTGCTTTGCCGTGTCTGCATCCCAGTTGTATCTCCGAGCTCGCTCGCGCTTATTCAAAGCATTGCTTCTAAAGAACCTCCCATTTCTGGAGCACGAAAACCACTCAACTGGAGCCTTAGTGAGCTTTCTCTCGTCAGGAGTTCAGAAAACCATCGGTGTCTCTGGAACGTCACTTGGACTTGTGGTCGAAAGCGTCGTGATGCTCGCAACGGGAATTGCAGTTGGATGTATTTTTGGATGGAAACTCGGTGTTGCTTCGACAGCTACCGTCCCATTAATCGCCATATCCAGCTTCCTGCAGTACTATGTCGAGGCGCAAGTGCAGAGGTATGTCCAACGCGATACTAATGCCGTGGAATTTGCACATGAAACTTTCTCCGCTATAGAAACAGTGACAATCCTCGGCTTGCAAAACTCCATCCTTGCGTCGTTTCGAGAACAAAGCGGAGGAGACCGTCGGGCCAGTTACTGGGTTATGTCGGCAGCCATGTATGCATGTGCCACATCGCTCCGTATACTGAGCATTGCTTTTGTATTCTGGTATGGCGGCACCCATCTGATTGCAACCGGCGAGTATAGCATCCAACAATTTTTCATTTGCTTTGCGGCGACGGTCTGGGGTTCCCAGTCTGCAGCAGCTCTCTTTGCACGCGCGCCAGACATTGCCGGGGCTCATACTGCTGCTGCCCGACTTACGAAGTTGATGCAAACCGATGATTCATCATCACGACTCACAGACAATACACCGAAACACGATCTCATCTCCGTGCCAAGTACCATTGAGAACCTTTCCTTACAACATATTAACTTCAGATATCCGACCCGCCCATCTCAGTTGGCGCTGAATGATGTCCATCTCGATGCCCCAGCTGGGACTTTCATCGCCCTCGTCGGGACGACTGGCAGCGGCAAAAGCTCAGTGATTAATCTCGTGGAGCGCTTCTATGCCGCCGAATTTGGCGAGATCACGTTAGGGAACACATCCATTGAAGCATATGATCTGAATAGCTATCGACGATACTTAGCCCTGGTCGACCAGAATCCTTGCCTGGTTGGTCAAGATCTGCGTGAGTGCTTGCAGAGTGATGAGCGGGTCAGTTCAGACGAGGAGATATTGGCTGCTTTGGAGAACGTCGATCTAGTTGATTTTGTGGTATGTGGCTCATTTAACTAATCTATATATACCCTATATCTGACCATGGACAGCTATCTCTTCCCCAAGGATTGAGCACCCCTATTCTGAGCAACGGATCGAACCTTTCTGGAGGTCAACGCCAGCGGATTGCCATCGCCAAGGCTCTTTTATGGGGACCAGAGATTCTGTAAGGCTCTCTTCTATCTAAAAAGGTTCTTTCTAATTATTTTCAGTATACTTGATGAAGCAACTTCTGCACTGGATAGTGCCTCGGAGGAAGTAGTTCAAAAGGCACTTCAGCAGGCAATGAAAGGCCGGACGATCATTGCCGTCGCCCATCGACTAAAGACCATTGTCAATGCAAATATGATTTTCGTTTTCGATCATGGACAAATTATCGAGAGAGGAAGCCACGATGAGCTATTCAAGCTTGGTGGGAAGTATTGGCAGATGGCCAAATTGCAGCAGTTGGATGAGCAGGCCCTTGATATGTAGTTCTTTGCAGTGATGATAAAGCATGCTGTGATTAGAGACCAAACACAACTCATGATATCTGTATATAGTACAGAGAAAGCTATGAACTGACAACAGTTAGCCCCGATAGGTCCGTCGGTGCTTTAATGCCATGGCGAGGGAGCATCATCATTTCTAGCATATTCCAAATGTTGTTGTAGTGATTGGTGCCTCAGGCATCGATAGGTTAGTCTAGTCTGGAGAGTCGTCTCTTTTACAACTCTCTCCTCTCTTTCACGTAGTAGTCAGGTATTGCTATCGTTCATTGTTGCATTGATTCTGCATATGTTTTGTCACGTGATGAACTGACCGCTAGTACTGGTCTCTTAGCTGATCTTCTTGTGTCTCAATTCCTGCCCAGCTACCTCAATCCGTTGTCCATCAGATGGCTCCTATAAGAATCATATTGTCTATCCAGCGTAGGGGTAAGGATTTCCCACACCCCTAAAGCGCCCACCGATAATGAGCCTAAGATAATGAGCCTGACTTGACAATATAGGAAAACCGATCGAGAAGCTCCCCATGGAAGTTCAAGTGGCATCTAATGCCTCCACGGCCGAACTCTACCACTCTCTGGCTGAAGCATCGACTCTCTCCGTCCACCGTCTGAGAATTACTAATAAACGCGATCAAACATTAATTCCAAACTCTAAGGAGATCACCATCGAAGGGACCGGGCTTAAGGACAAAAGTCCGGCCCATGTGAAGGATCTGGGTATGCAGCCACCGTGACCGACGCTTTATCTAGGCTCATACTTTTATCATTCGCCATTAAGGTCCCCAGATTTCATGGCGCACTGTGTTTGTCGCCGAATACCTCGGCCCAGCGCTGATGCCAACTCTCTTTCTCTTCTCACTGCGCCCATATTTGTACTACAACTTCGACACTATTCCCGAACCGACCAACGTCCAATACCTTGTCTGTGCACTGTTGACTATCCATTTCTTGAAACGTGAGCTTGAGTCCATCTTTGTCCACCGATTTGGGAATGCAACGATGCCGCTACGTAACATTTTCAGAAACACTGGCTACTACTGGGTCATGGCCGGCTTTAATATTCCCTACTGGGTTCTCAGGCCCGATGCAGCCGCAGGAAGGCGGCCTAATTCTCTTCTCCTATATACTGGTATCACACTTTTCGCATTTGGAGAGCTGGCAAACTTGAACACCCACTTGATACTGCGAGATCTCCGTCGGATAGGAACAACCGAGCGTGGTATCCCATCTGGCTTCGGATTCAGCGTTGTGACTTGTCCCAACTACTTCTTCGAGATTGTTGCTTGGTTTGGCATGTATATTGTCAGTGGGATGAGCTGGAGTATTCTATTCCCAACGATTATTGGGGGTGCGCAAATGGCTATCTGGGCAAGGAAGAAAGAGAGTCGCTACCGCAAGGAATTCGGTGACACTTACAAAGGCAAGAAGTTTTTCATGATCCCTGGTATCATCTAATGTAGAAATTCGGACTTGTTTCTCGCGAGATGTCTCCGTCTTCATGGGTCTTCTTCAAGACCGGCTTTACTTTGCTTGATCGACACTGCGAACAGAGTCGTGACTAGATCGACAACATTGGGCTCATAGAGGAGCTACGAGCTACTACTTGAGTGAGGGCACTATCTCACTTTCGACCGTATAGCGGGGGCAAAGCCGACACCTTCGCATATGACATTGCTTACTTCACTCAAATAACCCGAAAGCGAAACATGGCGACTGAGATATCGAGTCATGAGGAGATAGGTAATTGGGTTCAATGTTGAAGTGATTGTGTTGGACCGTTTATGTCCGAGGCAAACTGCCCTTTGGAACAGATCTCATAGATAGTTTGCTCCCTTGAGTCCCTCTCTCTCTCTCTCTCTCTCTCTCTCTCTCTCTCTCTCTCTCTCTCTCTTTCTCTGTCCATCTCTAGATCATTGAATCTACACTGGTTTCTATATTCGGCATCTACAATGTAGATTCCTAGTGATTGACACGTCAAATTACCTAGTAAGCTACACAAGAAATCCAATCCTTTCATCAGTAAAATCTCATTTATCATCAGCTTCGCATACCCACAGTGGTTATAACATATGCCCGAGGCCATCAAGCTTTCCTCTATCCCTCCAATGTTATCTTGAGAACCTTAGCAGGCTCGATGAATTGGCCCAAAACAGGCGCAATTTGACCCCCGTGGTGCCGACGTAAAGTATCTTTCGGTCTTCGCTCAACCGGACCGAACTTGGGCCTGGCATTTCCGTGGATACTTGGCCACCCGCAACGAGGGAGATCTGCCCCGAAGGCGTGATGCGCACAACAGAGTTCTGGGGATCTGTCGGAATGTACGCAGTGCCATCCTTGGTCATCTCAACGTTATCCGGCAGGAATCCACTAGCGATCACCTCGAAATCTCCGATTGCTTTGGCATCCTTGTCCACCTTGACCCTGCAATACAGCATTCGTGTCGTGCTGGTATAATAGACATAATCACCCAGTATTGTCACGGCATTGACTCCCAGGGGAAGGGCCTGGCCCTTCGCCGGAGCCATTGTAGTATCATTCAGTGCGACAGAATAGTCTCCTGTCTTGGTATCGACCTTCCAAACTACTCCCTTTGGACTATCGGCAATGAGAACCAAGTTTGAGCCCCTTGAGAAAGTAGCCATGCCATTCAAGGCTTGAGCCTCTGGGATTGCGATGATCTCCGAGGCCGTTGGCTGTTCCAGAGCGCGCTTGTTCCCCCCAGCACCGATCTTGGTGAAGTCCAATTTCTGGACTGAGAACGAGCCTGCACCTGGCTGATAAGTTTTGATGGAGAAATTCCCCACAACAACTGCGAAGACATCGTCTTCGATTTCACTGATTCCGAAGGTGCTGGTGACGCTGGGGAACGAGTAGGCGAGGCTCGCCTTTCCGCTCGTGGTGTCGACAAGCCAAACTTCAGGGGTGTCCATACGCGTCACAAGGAGGTTGCCGTCTGGTCGAAGGACCATGTTGCCGATCCATGAGCCATTGTTGGGAAACTGAAAGAGCGTCTCGACTTTCACATTGGGCTGCTCATTGCCGTAACCGATTGCTGATATCGCTTCAATGTGGTCGCGGAAAGGCCAGGAAGCCAGAGCCACTGGAAGGATAGCCAAGCCGCTGAGGAAGGTCTGGAAGTGCATATTGTCGAAAGCGATCGGATGCCGAAAAGAACAACAGTGAGGGATGTCCTAGTGAGCTATATGGTACCACAATACCGGCGCCAATAGGCCAAGAACTTGTGAATGCTCGGCAAATAAATCGGCTCTTATTATCGTTCGTAGAATAATGCAGGAAGACTATGCTCAGCATTCGTCGAAATGTTTTGTTGTTGACGGAGCTAACCCCTACATTCCCCAACACCCATGCATTGCGATGAACCTGTCAACAATGAGAAACAGACAAAATAAGTGGATAAATAATTTACCAATGCTGTCAGCCGATCAATAATTGGATTATTAGTGTGGTATACGTTATGGTGGAAAAAGTTGACATCAATATGTTGAATACAACTAAAACATTATATTCATGACTATCAACACCCTTGCCTCCGTACTTCCCTTGAAATTGTTTTCACAGATGACTTTGGAATGGTTGACCCTTGGGAAGCTGGGCATAACCATACATGTTCATTGCAGTGCCGTCTTTCTGCATCTGCTGCGCCCATTCCCCAAGGCCTTTGATGAAAACTTCCATGTTGGCACCATTGCTCAGGTCAATCGGCTCTTCATCTTTTGCGATCTGCAGCATTTGTACTCCAGCAGCGGGGCTTGTCTGGAAAAAGTCTTGAGGGTCAATCTTCTGCTGGATTGCGCCCTGGACAGTTCCGGCGAGCAGCTGCCTGGGCAAGCGAGGGTCCTGGGTAATGGAGCGACCAAGACCAACGCCATCAACAGTTTCCAGAGCCTGGACCATTCCAGAGGCAGTGCAAAATCCTCCAGTTACATAACTGCGGGTCCGCTTGAGAGCAGGAGCAATAAGATCTGCAAATTCTAAGAAGAATGATTCTCGTTTCTGCGAAGACTCCCGCTTGTGCTGGAAGGCACCAGCTTCATAAGTTCCACCAGACAACTCAACAAAGTCGAAGTTAGTGCGGTCTAGAATCTCGCACAGCTCCTTTGACTCCTCGGGGGTAAATCCATGTTCTTGGAATTCCACCGAATTAATCTTGATTCCAATGATAAATCCGGGATCTGGAAGAGCTTGACGGATTGCCTGGGCGATTTCCACGATAATCCGTGCACGATTAGCCAAGCTCCCACCGTATTTATCCGTCCTCTTGTTCGTTGTTTGGGACAAGAATTGCGCGAGGAGATATCCATGGGCTGAATGCAGCTGAATACCATCATACCCGGCCTTTTGCAGGTAGACGGCTACATGAACAAAGCGGCGGATAACATCCTGAATCTCCTCCTCGCTAGCTGCGTGGGGTTTTCCAAATGCACCAAATTTCGGCATGACAAGCTGGACATCGCTAGCAGAAACCGGGTTGGATTGCAGCTGCTCGAATGTCTGACGACCAGGGTGGCTGACCTGACCAACGATCAAACTTCCGTGCTTCTTGGCGGCAGTGGCCAATTGCTTGAATGCTTCGAATCGTTCCCCGCCGAATGGGTTCTCAAGATCAATGATCATGTTTCCCGGTGACTCGAGCTGGTCGTATGCCATCATAATATTGCCGGTGAGGATAAGTCCAAATTGACCCTCTCCCCACCGACGATAAAGATTGATCAGATTTTGGCTCGGAATGCCTCGAGCCGAAAGATCAGTGGGAGACCACGAGGCCATTCTCTCCGTCAGAGCAGCCTTCAGAAAGCGATTCGAAGCTGTGCGCTGACTGAATTCGAACTGCAATGGTGCCCCAAGCGGCGACACATCCACCTTTTCGCTGGGAAACCTTGTAGACATGGTGAAGGTATAATGATACGTGTTTTGAAGATAAATTATATTCAGTATTGAGGCACATAGCTTCTTTTATCTGTAAGCACTACAATATGCTACTAATCCAGTTCCACCCAGTTTCACCGTGATGCCAGAAAATTCCAGATCGGCTCCAGTCTTTTCGGATCAAAAGTCTGTGGAGGGAATGAAGTCCTGCCGATCGTGATCCACCTCGTTCATGATATGTAAGCATATCAAATTTCTAACCGTCCAAGGTGGGAAACATCCCGAGATATTATGTGCATAACTTGAGAGTAATATGAATTTACGGAGTTGCTCCGAAGCCTTATTTAATTCAATTCTTCTAAATTGATTTATCTTGCCAGTCCCATCTTAGTAGTATATATGACAGAGTATAGCATAGATTCCTTCGGTTTTGATACGATCCACATATATATCGCAATAGTCTTACATTTAAAATAAAAGGTTCTAGTATAATATTGAGAAAAAATAAGCATTTGCACATGTATCTTTTATATGGTCTGTCTAGTAAAAGGTACACTGACGTTTGGGTGGCAAACCCTCGTATTGTCAAAAATGTAAGGGCCGGTTACTTCCCAAATGTTCGGTGTTGTGTGTGTCTATATCGTACTGCGACAAACCCACAATCGAACGATCTGATATCAAAGGCATAGAATAGAACGACCAAGCAGTTCCAATCACACTAGGTGTAAAAAAGAAAAGAGAAAAAAAAAAATACAAGAATTGAGCCACGATGAATGCATGTCGGCAAGACGAGATCATATAACCGAAGAAGCCGAGCCCCCACCTTTTTTCAGAACAAAACGATCCCTGACCTTTTGGATATTCAAATATTATTTTAATCGAAACAGCCGATTCTTCTGTTAACTATGGATACCGAGAGTCCAGATCGACCACGCACGCGGGCAAAGAAAGCCTGCCTGACATGTAACTCGCGTCGCGTGCGATGCAATGTGTTAGAAATGCAGCCCTGCCAAAATTGCGTGTCTTGGAATCTTACTTGCGAAGTAGGAGTTTCCCGCCGTGGAAAGTAAGGAGATGATGAAGAATTGGTCGAATTTATACTTATTCTAGGCAGATATCCCCGAAAGAAAAAGGGATTAGCTCGAACATCCACAACGCCGAATAATACGGCAAAGGCATCAGATTCCCGAGTCATACAGCGTCAACTTCCATTACCCGGACACAGCTCTCGGTATCCGGCTCATCCCGCAACAGCAGAGGATGCGATCCATAAGACCGTGTTCCTCGGCGAATCAAGTCCTCTCACCTGCGTTGTGGATGAAGGGCGACGATCTCCAGACAAGGGGTATGCATGCAGTATCCAAAAAGGCCGACTGCACTACTCCATTTCTGAGATTAGAGCGACTGGAAGTAGTCAGGATTTATTAGGCCCTCGCAAGCTAATACATGATCGCCTTAACCGCGAAGGGGCCCTTGTATTCCCGTCGCCTGCTGTCTGCGACGCGTTACTTCAAGCTTATTTTGACTGGCTCCACCCATGTTTTCCAATTCTTGATCGGGCAGATCTGCAAAGTCACTATCAAGGCGGCACACTATCACCTTTGCTCTTTCAGTCAATGCTCTTCATTGGAGTGAGCCTATGCTCGGATACGGTTTTAGACAACACAGGCTTTAATAATCGCTACCAAGCCAAAGAAGTATTTTATCAACGAGCAAAGGATATCTATGATTCAGGATGTGAGACCGACACGGTTATCAAGTTGCAATCGTTGTTTCTCTTGAGCTTTTGGCGTGGAAGCCCAAACGAAGAACGCGATGTTCGATTTTGGCTTGGAGCTGCCATCGGCCTTGCTCAGAAAAAGGGAATGCATGTCATGTACGGCGTGTATCTCATTTCATTGAAGACGAATATACACTGACATGCATAGGTCTAAATTGTCCTTCCTCAATGCTAAAGACCAAAAGATTTGGAAACGAATCTGGTGGGCTTTGTATGTACGCTGTTCCCCAGTCCTTGCTTATAAGACCATGATATTAACATTTTATCAGGTTCGCGATCAACAGACATCGGCAGCGTTGGGGCTGCCACCTCGGATACGTGATGAAGATTGCCAGATCGCTGATCTTGAAGCCGCAGACTTTGAGGATAACGAGTCTATGGGACCTCCTGGAATATTCCGTACACCCCCGGAAGTCCACATCCCCTACGTGATTGGAATGACTCAACTGGCTAGGCTATGTATGATATCCTGGAATATTCGTAGACTCATATGTGCTGACGGTTTTGTTTTCAGTGCGGGAAATAGTCTGCAGCCAATATCTACCTGGTCGATCAGAATTGGATAATGAAGCTCGGCCGGCGCTCCGTCAACGTTTGGTTGACTGGGAGTTCCACCTTCCGAAAGAAATGCAATTTCAAATGCCCATGAGCAGAGATGCGATGTTCCTTGTTGGCATGCTTCATATGGCGTACAAGTATGCAGTACTGCGCTGGTAATAATCGAGAGCCTTCCCGCTAACATTGATATAGCAACCTGTACATTCTCCTCTACCGACCCCTTTTTCTACAGTCTCCCGGCCAATCAGTCAACCTAGAAGGAAATGTTGCCCTGGAAGCAGCAACACGAAGCACCCGTATTTTGGAGGACATGCTTTCAGAAAACCTAGTCCAACATGGATCAGTTCACCTGTAAGTTCCAACAATCCCAAACTAGATCACGACTAACCCGGAAGCAGAATCACTCACACCTTCTCAGCTTTGTGTATACACACCATTCATTTCGGACGGGCCACAAGTACAGCCCGCAAGTTAGCAGAACACAGGGCAAAGTTATGTCTATTGGGGTTGAAGGAATTACAGAAATCATGGGACTTGGAAAACTGGGTCCTGGATCTTTTCTTCCGGTGCTTGGATGATCGTACTGCTCGCGATCTTCGATTAGCCGATCCTTCCATGCCGTCATTAATGTCGCAGGCAGGCGGCGGTCGAAATATTGAAGAGATGTCACCTGTGTCTCCTGTTCGTGGTCCATATAGACCGCTCTCTCCTAACGCAGCGGGTGATCCCTTACACACCCCTAACATGATGCCTCACCATAACCCCGGGGAAGAGGCAGCAGTTAATATGGACTGGTATGAGCTGTTCAACGTGGAGGGTGACGATGTTATGGGCCTTGCTGGCTCATTATCAAACCCGGACTATTTGAACCCTCAGAACCTCGAGTTTCTTTATCGGTTCCTATAGTGATGGTAATTC